TCGCAGGGATGGCATCCGCACATACGTGGCTCTTCCCCAGGCGTTAGGTTAAGTCCGGTTAAGTCCTGAACCCTTAGCCTCGGTCTTCTTCGCTTGTGTTGTCAGTTCCTAGTCACGGTTCAGCGATATTATGCACGGTGGTGGGCATTATATTGATAGTCTTGGTAGTGCTTTCATGGACACTGATAGAACTATTATGAAGAGTAAACCTGTGACTGAGAATGGCAGGTTCCAAAAACGGCTGTACGTACGGTCGCACTAGCACGGATAGCTATTGTTACTGTACCACAAGATTACAGTCTTTGCCATCATCGTTGCCATGAGCGAGTTCACTACCTCGCAAAGTCGAAGAACGGATACTGTAGCTAACTAAGCAAGTACAGTAGCTAGCCAAGCAGTCAGTCAGTTCTGCAACGACTATCACAACATAAGGCCCTACGCCCAAAACCCCAAGCACCAGCCCGTGACCGAACAGAAGCGCACACACACACACACACACACACACAGACACAGAGACAGACACACAGACACCCAAAGCAGGTCTTGTCACCGACCTCGGGAGCTCCGGAGAACCCGAAGGAGCCGACGAGGGAGACCCGGGAAGAGGTATGATTTTCGGTATGAGAGTGTTGGGGTTGAGAGTAGTAGGGGTTGGCAACAGGGTCGAGGGTTGCACTGAGGTTTTGGGTCTCATTGTCGGGGGTGACGGTTTGGGCCTGGAAGCAATTCAGGCTGTTGCGGTTTAGTTATGCTGCCTCGTTGCTTGCTCTAATCAGCTTGCGAAGCAGCACATGGGTGTGTGCTTGACATTGTTGTGAAGGTTTGTTGGAACAAGGAGACCTTATTGTTTTGAAACCGACAGTGACGTCAAGGGCATAATCAGGGCTTTCCTCAGTCCTTAAACGCATGCCCGGGTCATGTCACCGTCTGTAAAACAGTGCAGCTGATGAGGACAATCACGATGATGAAAGCGTTGAGTTGTTGTCGACGCTACAGAAATGCAGACGGCAAGGATGGCAACCCGTGTCGTGATGACGGTGCCGGTGAGGATGTGATGATGTAGATGATGGAGTTGGCACGGATGGTAGTGTTAATGAATGGGAGGATTTACTGAGGATGGTGCCGGCTTGACGATGGCTGTGGACAGCGGTAACATCATAAGAGCATGTTGGAGCAATCAGTACCAATAAAAAAGACTAGTAGGATACAGAAGGACTGCAAAGGGACGGAAGGAGATGGGGATGACTGGGATGACTATGGGCAGCGAAGTGCTGACGATACTGCATGATGAACACTGGCAGTAGCGTGAAGCTCACAACGTTCATCGCACGATAGCAAGGACCACAGCTAACACAAGAAGCGCAAAGGTTAAATAGTTGAAAGGCCTTTTCAGGTCCTTATGCTGAGCACATAAAGCCCCCTACCCCCCTCTAAGGGTCCCTATGACAGAATGGAAAGCAAAACCGTAAACCCCAAACCCTAAAGCCCTACTAAACCCCTGAAGCCCAAGAGGCACCTCCCAGCACGCCGATGAGCGGCCTGGAAATGCCAGCGAGCGTGGACCTCTCCGCAGCGCTGGATCCCAGCAAGGCTCCATGAGACCAGGGCATATCAGATACTATAGGGGCCTTGATATAGTTACCTATACTACTATTATGGTTCCTTTAAGGCATGTATAAGGTTTAGGGTTTAGGGGCCTATATAATTACCCTGAGGGCAGGGCGTATCAGATACTATAATAGTCCCTTTAAAGGGGTTTATAGGGATCTATAAGGGTACCATAATATAGTACTACTATAGTTCCTTTTAAGGGGTTTATAGGGATCTATAAGGGTACCATAATTTAGGGAGCTATATAATATAATTGCCAATACTATTCTGGGGGTTCCGTATTATATTTAGAGGAGAATGGGCCCCTGTATTACCTGATCGATGATCGGATGTCACGGGTAAAGAAACGATGCTGCAGGGCAGACTTCAGCCCAAGTCTAATGCCGCCAGAAACGACGTAGCCACTGCCCAGCGCAAAGATAAGGGTGACAAAGGCACAGCAGCACACAGGTTTCCGCAGGTTTGAATCCCCCTGCCAAGCATCCAGGCAAGCATAGTGGCAAGCATGACCATCCCAGATTTCAAATTATAACCCCCGAAACCTAAACCCTGAACCGTAAAGCCATGTGAAGCGCGCGTCCTAAACTCTTACGCTTGGCAGTTTGCTGGCCTCACCGGCCAGATGTCGCCACCGGCTGATGCAGCGCCTCGGATTTAGCACGGGAGCTTCTGAAAACGGACGTACTAGTAGTTATTGGGGTTTGGAGGTTTAGGGTTTGGTGTTCTTGGCTAGTCCTTTAAAGGAACCTGGTGCATCCTCTGCTGAGGCTGCAGCAGCGATGCCGCGGATATCATAGGCCGGGTGGTGATGCAGGACTCTAAGATACCCTAAGTCTCCTAAGTACATGGAATGGTAGTCCGCACTTACGACTGTCCTTCATGGAGGCTCTTTGGGGACTCTTTTCGCAGCCTGGGTCGGTTGCAATGACATCTTAAGCATCCGACTTGTTCAGCTGTTCTTCTGCAGGCCAGGGCGCGTAGAACTGAGAGACAGAGCAAAGGGTGACTACTATCCCCGCAGGCCTGACTCGCACTCGGCATTTCAGAGCAGCAGATGAAAGCTCAAAATTCAGGTGCTTTAGGGAATGCCGAGGTGCGGACAAGGACTGCCGAAGCGTTTCACGCAAGTGCAGTTCTCTGTGAGCTTAAGTGTAAGCGTCTGCTTCATACACGTGCTCCGGCTTGATTCAGCTTCCCAACATCAGAAACCCAGACTCCATACTGTAAGGTTCTACAGTTCATTCAAGCTCCAAATCCCTACAATCTGCTCAGTACTCGTAGGATCCATCGACATGAAAGTGAAACTGCCTTCGCTCGAGCATCCGAGCTTTCTCCCCCCGGGGCCCTGGAGCCTGGGCTCATGGAAAGCCCTGCAACTTCCGCGGTGACGCAGCAAGGGGGTCCGAAGAATTCCGAATCGTATCCCCTTATGGTTCCCCTTTGTCGTATATCATATTGATATAGTATACTGTACCCCAAAACCCGGTTCTATGCGTTAAGGCCCCTAGGAGTGTTACCTTCATTGCAAGACTCCGGAAGGGTTGCCGGAGTGTGGACTCATGTGATGAAGTTATTGATTAAAGCGTACTTAACTATTCTCAGACACGGATCTTGTAAACAGTCCGGTTATGAGTCCCCCAAAAAACAAAAACATGCCTTTGTATCCTGAGCATACCTGAGTTTAGACAGCTCAATGAACCCAAAACCTGTATGCCACAAGGAACAGTAAAGCCATGCTGATGTGCTGAGAGACACATAATTACGCAGAGCCTCCTCGAGCCCTTAACTCTAAGAGTCTATAGTAAGCCCCTGAGACCCTCTAAACCCCCAAGGCCCCTGAGACCCTGAGGCCCGGAGGGTAGGGCCCTGGCGTTAGTGCAAAGAGCGCGCAAAGAGCGCAGGAACCAACGCAGCGCGGTTTTGCTGGAAAAAGATTGCTAAGGTTTGGAGTCTAAGGCGGCGCAGCATGTACGGATACAGGGCTCAAGGACTACGGTGATAACGATTTCGGCTGCACGGTTAATGAGGATAAACTGCCACGAAACAAGCTTGATCCGAACAGCAGCGATGCCGACTGTGACCATGTAATGTCCATCTTACTGAACATAGTTTCAACGTAGCAGATCATGACCGCAGCAGTCCAGATTTGTAACCGTTAAACGAGCTGTCGCCTCCGCGGTAAGAACTCGAACAGTAACCCAGACAGTAATAATATTGCCAGCAGCAACACTTGGGTGGTTCAGCAAGAGCGGTTGTTGAATACGTCCTCCGCATGGGTCACCAAGCAGAATCACTGCGGGTTTCCATTAGAGACTTGGGGAGCCAGGACCAGATTCCACGTCGATCGTTGCGGCCCTTTTCGGGTCTTGTGTTGTTGCGTGGTAGGGTGCCGTTTCATCAACAATTATGGACTAACGCAAAGGTGCTAGAACACAAACCCTGGACTGAACTTCAGCATGCCAAGCTTAAAGGTTGTTTTCCAATGGCTCCCTGCTGTTTCCCGGAGCTTGCTGTCCCTGGGGTCCCCACGTCTTCTTCGTCTGCCTTTTATTTAGATCGGTAAACATACCCAGCCCAAAAACAAATCCATGCCCAACATGCAGCCAATCAGCTGCTCGAGAGGACAGGTAGAACAAGCCTGCAGTGTTCAGACGCAGCTGGGAACTGTTGTCACAGTGCCGGGGGTTGATCGAGCAGCACTAAGACAGATGAGCCCCGAATGCCCTTCAAGAGCCACGTCTCACAAAAGGCTCCTGCAGCCCAACTGTACATTGTACATCGGCAAAGCATGCCAAACTTCGGAGCTGAATTCATGAGGCCTCAATCCACTTAAACAGCCCCACAAAAGCCATACCAGCTGCCTTCATTCAACCTTTCCAGATTTGGAGGTCCGATAGCCTCCCGCGTGGGTTGAACCCGCCGCGCCAATGTTCGAGTGCAATATTTGCTTTGAGACACCTTCTGAGCCGGTGGTGACCCGCTGCGGCCACCTGTGCCTCAACTGCGATTTCAGAGCGAAGTGGTTTGAGCTTCAGAGAGGCTTTTCTGGTGTGAGCAGTGCAGGGTGAACGGCTCGGAGAAGCAAAGGTTCAATGTTGCTGTATTTTGCTATCCGTACTGACTGAAGGGCTTTACGTGGCAACGATGTTGGGGATGGAATCACTCGGTGCATCACCAGCCACCACTATGATTTATCATCCGCATTGCCATCAACGGTTTAATCATCAAAATCTTCTTCATACGCAGTAGAGAAGTCCGTCGACTCTACTAGCGAGCGCCTTCACTGCCAGTCTTATGCTGGCATCGGCTGCTCGTGGCAGCAGCGGCACTAATGCCCATATGGGCGGGGGAACGCGCCAAAGCGCCTAATCATGGTTTAACCATGATGCTCAATCGTCCAGCGAATGCAGATCACGAACGAGGTTGTGGCGGATCTTGTTGACTCTGCGATTGCTGTACAAGTATGCATGTCTGTGGATCAGCAGTTGCATCGAATGAAGCTCGAGCTGCACCTTGTCCAGATGACGTTGCATGAGCTGCATCTGCACTTCCAATTCCTTGATTTGGTAGTTCATGATGCTCATGTGGGCCGTCACCCATGCATCCCCGTACTTGCGAAGCAGAAACTGGTCGTTGCTGTCTGACATGGTTGGAGGGCACGATAAAAGCTAAGGAGTCTAGGTGCTGTGGGTCTGGATCATCATGCAGCACAAGGAGCAGCATATAGGAGTTGCAGGATGCATGTCGAACCTCAGCCATTGTGGCCTTTTTGATCGCTCGATTGTCGTCTAGAAGTCTGAACCCCGCCCCGTCAGGAATCAAAGTAGAATAGTGACCTGATGTGAAGCAGCGGCCATGGTGTATGGTCAATGCAACTAGACGGTACCGGCACCATACTGTGTCAAGACTGTCGGCCTGTTCGAAAACCGGAACGCGGAGGCTGCGTGGCATCCTGAATTGATCTGTCCGTTTGCTCAAGTGGGGTCCATCGGCCGCGGTACGTGGCAATTGCACGAGCAGCCATGGTGCCTGACTAGTCAGTGCATGCAGTCCTGACTGATGGTGCCACCTGAAGAGCAACTGTTGGATGTCAGGGCTGGTGATTTCCGTGAAGCTTAGGGACAGGCACTGGTTCAATGCAGATTGGTCCAGTATGCGCAGCACGCCTTCCTCGGATCGGCGGGCTTGCCATGAGACACAGCGGGCGTCCGGCAAGAGTTTCGGCAGAACAAAATCTGCAAACTCCACGATGTCATGTTGAGCATGGGGCCTGCCCCATCCCAGCATACAGAAGCCGAAGGCTTTGTAGGCACTCAGTATCCTGCCAGGTTCGGCTCGGAAGGATGGCGGAAGGATACTAATGGACAGGAGCTGCTCAAGAACATACATGCTGTTGGCAAAGGCATTCATATAGCAGTGGTTGCCAGGGTTGTTTAGGGCCGGGAAGCTAAGGGGGTTGGGGTCGATGATGGCGCGTGGGATTTGGGAGGAGGCAAGCGGGGGAGCATTAGGGTGGTTATCAGCCGTAACAAGACCACCGACAGCAGCGGGCCTCCCACATATGTGAGGCTGGCCAGCTCCTTGGCCAAGTGTTGGCGCGGGAGGTCGTCCACCTTCATCGAGAACCCTGCAAGGTTCGTGACCGCCAGTCCGCACAGTGTGCGGAAGTGGAGCCAAGTGTCCTCTGCATTTTCTCCCCGTAGAGCGATCTCCAGCTGAAACGTGGCCTGCTGGTGACCCTGTTCGGACAGCTTCCACAGAGGTTGTGTGGATTGGAAGTGCTGTATGATTGTTCCCGACATCTGCTCGTGGAGAGTGCTGAGGGTTCTGGTGGCTTCTGCATGAGTCAAGGGCTCCTTGCTCTCGTCTGGGACCAAGCGTCTTTCCTTGGGGTTCCACTTTAAGTAGTTCCAGGAGCCGTTTTCCTGGATCCATTGGGCCTTTTGGAGCGAGGCCCGTCCTTGCTCTGTCGATGCGACCCTCTGGAGTCGTGCCAGAAGTTCTTTGAGAAGACATCCCATCAACACGGTCTTGAGAGGCGACTTCAATGACATGTCCCCGGCTGCTCGTTTGTCGTGCCACTCCTTGGAGACTTGCATGAGATTGGGCAGCAGGCTGTGTTCGTCCTGCCTGAAAAAGAGAACGTAGTTCTTGTCCTGGCGCAGGCCTGATAGGGCTGCTTCGTGCTTGAGTAGCAGCTTGCTCATCAATCTCATGGTAGGATCCATTGGCATCTGAGCCGGCACGGGGTGTTGGGCATTGTAGTGGTAGCCGTTGCTCGGTCCGAACGGTCTCCGCCGCCCCTGAAACCTGGTATTCTGGTCGGGCCTCGGACGCTTCTGAGGCTGTTCCGGCTGAGAGGCCGGTGCTGGAGAGGAGCCGGCCGGCTTTGCTCCCAGTTGCCCCGTGGGCATGCAGTGAGCAAAGATCTCCGATTCCAGAGTCCCCGACATCCTGGCGGTGCAAGTTACGTTGACAGAAAATCGTGGCTAGACAGAGTTGATGCAGGACTGTGCACTGAACGGAGTGCCTGGAGGCAGCCCCGACGTTCGTCCCACAGTATCTGCAGCTACGGTTCCTGGTGAACTGGCTTTTGAATGTGGCACAGAGTGCAGTGGCAGCATCTCTGAGATCTGGAAATGAGGTATGGTGTGTCCGATTGTAGTGTTGCTTCATATGCTTGGGTGTCGCAATCCACATGCCACAAAGAACACATCTGCAGGAGAGTTGAGCCTTAGTGTCACGGCAGGAGAGCAGGGTTTCCCAGCGTGAGAGGTTGCCGTAAAACTCAGGTCGGGCAATCAGTGGTACATAGGCCTCCTTTTCGCACTGTGCTGTAGCGTCGGAAGAGTCGGTCGGGGCGGTGCTCCGATCATTCGCAATGTTCTGGCTGGTACCTGACATGTGGTGATTGTCGGAAGCAGGGGGATGAAGTATGAAACTTGCACCCCCAAGGTGGGGGCACGAGCATCGCTCGATGTGGAGCTTCAGTTGCCGCCACTTCGTGAAGCTTCTGTGGCACAAGCGACATGTCGGCATGCCGTCAATGGCGTGTGCAGTAGCTGAGAAGGCGACCCTGGGCCGTGGAGCCTTGCTGACATCCTTGTGATGCAACCCAACATGAATGCGGAGGGCATGGGGGCTAGGAAGTTTCCGGTCGCAGTGTGGGCAGACTACACCTAACAGGGGTTCCGGATCTAAGTCAGCAGTTTGTGGGGAGGCGCGCTCAGCTTCCAGCTGTGAGCTCAGCGCACGGTGATGAGAGAGGAGCTCCGCCATCTGCAGCTGAACCTCATCGTTACAGATGATGTCCGGCCCGTGGTGCGAAAGGTTCGGGGATTTAACAGCCTTAAACCTCTGCATGCGGTGTTCAAGCTGGGAGTCAGGCGTAGGCAGACCAACGGTGCTCCAGACAGCCTGGTTCGTGGTATGGGAGAGGTGGGCAGGTTGTTTGAGGATTGCCCGGAAATGGCGGGTGCACAGCACGTGAAGCTTGCGAAGGCCTTTTAGGGTGCAGCCTACAACCTCAAGGGAGTACAAGAGGGAGCTATTGATGCAGGCAGTCCAGAGTCTAAGGCGATGCTTGGTGCTGAGCGGGTTGCGACCATTCAGAACCTTTCGGATCTGCTGATATCGGCTTTGGGCTGCGGAGATCCTGTGAGCTACATTGAGGTCACGGCGATTCTTGTAGGCAATCTTAGTGCCGAGGTAGACATGCGAATCGCAGATTTTAAGAAATTGTTCCTGCCCATTAACCATAATTCGCAGGTGTGGCTCCCCTTGTTTGTGGACGGTTCGTTCGGCTAGGAGTTTCCGTGCTGCCTTGCCCCGAACGTTCATGAGGAGCGCGGTTTTCTGCAAGTTAACAGTCAGTCGGAACTGGGCGAGGATTTCAAGAATGAGCTCTAGGTCACTGATGGCTCTGAGGAGGTCACTGCTGCTGGTGATTCGCCAGCAGCTGCATAAGTCGTCAGCGAAGGCTGTGAGGCACCTATGGAGCCAGGCAAGACTGCGACGTTGTGTCAATGTCTCCATAATGGAGAGAGTGAGGCTCAGCCACAGCGTAGGGGCTGCACGGCAGCCTTGCTTGATGCCGCATGTGGTGATAGTTTGGCCGGTGGCCCGCTCAAGGCGGAAAACATACCGTGCGGATTTGTGCAGCTGTTGTATGGCACCCACAACATCTTGGGAGACACCGTGGTCAAGGAGCGATTCAGTGAGTTTGTCACGACACACCGAGTCAAAGGCTTTTGACAAGTCGAGCGATAAGCACATTCCACCGAAGCATGTAAGGCGAGTGGCTCCCGAACGAAGACTAAATCTATTGCTGGCCTGGCTTTGGTGGAGCTGCTCCACCTGTTCAAAGTGCTGGTGAACTCGCAAAATAGCATCGCTGCAGCCCCGATTGGGGCTGTAAGCATACTGTGGCATGTGATCAAGAAGAGGTTGAAGGTGTGCCTGGATCTGCTGGGCAAGGTCTGCTGCGATGGCCTTGGCACAGGGTGGCATTAACCCTATTGGGCGCAGAGCACCAACCGTTACAGGTGGTTTACCTGGCTTTTCTAACCACACCACATGGGCATCTCTGAGATCCCCAACCAGTTGGGCTGTGGAGCCAGCGGAGAAGTGCCTGGCTAGCAGGGGCCCAAGCCGGTCACTGATGCAGGAGGAGCACAGCCTCCAGGAGGCGGCCGGAGCGCAGTGCACCGGGACAGCCTTCCGAACGTTCAATTTGCTAAGGGCAGTGGAGAAGGTGTGGCTACCGAGACTGAGTGTACCTTGCTGGGGCAGTTGTGGTCTGGAGTCCGGTCGTGCCGCAAATGTGGCATTGCCATAGGCCACAATGGCCTCCATGGCAGCACTGCTTCCAAGGATTTTGCCTGCAGGGTCCTGCAGCCTGATGGTGCCCCTGTGGCTGCGTGGTGCCAGTTGCCTGGCAACTTGAAACAGAGCTCGCTGGTCCCCCTGGCATGCAGCCTGCTCGGCCTGTGCAATGCGAGCCGGGAGAAATTGCTTTTTCAGTGCCATGCTCTGTGTGCGCAGGGCCTTGGAGGCTCGAAGAAAGGCAGTGTAGTGCTTGAGGCGGTCGAAGATGTTCCGAACTAGCAACAACCCCGAGCGACGGAATCGCCTATGCAACTCCCAGGTGGCACTGGCTGAGGCTCGGAACTCGGGTTGAGCACTGACCCGGCAGTCCTTGCGACCTGTCGGAGGAAAGAACTTGCAGGTCTCCTCTTGGAGAATGATGTTGACTGCTTCATGTTCCCCACACAAGTCAGGGCTCGGCGGCTGCTGCTGGAGGCGACGCTCCACGGAGTCCAAAAGGGCCTGAGCCTGGGCAGAATTGCTGAGCACAGCTGCTTGAAGAGCAGCGGAGTTGTGGGCACAAGCAGATCGATGCCGGCATTGTGGCTGGAACTCGTATGGGAGGAGGCTAGTTTCCAGGTGTAAGGGCAGATGATTGGTGCAGCGATGGGCACCCACCGGGAATCCCGACATGGGCGAGGAGTAACGGGCTCCTCTGTTCGCATCCTGCAGTCTAACAATGACATAATCGATTTGACTCTGAACACCCGGGGCTGTGAAGGTGTGGGACGGCCTGGAGTGCCATGTGTTGGCCGCTGTGAGGCGGTGGTCTCGCACCAGTGCCTGAAAGGCCGAGTCATAGTTGCTATGCGATTGCCGACTAGGAGCTGCAGGTCCAACGTAGGGGTGTTCTGGCTGCAGGGTGGAGTTGAAGTCACCAGCAATAAGCATCATGTGCCTTGTCGGAATGGCACCGACGAGCTGCTGTAGCTTGTGCCAAACCTGACCCCGAATCTCCTTATTCTTGTGTGCGCCAAGTTGTGGTCGGTGGACGTGCTGGTACACACCGATCAGTGTGACTGTACGCTTGCTGGCAATATGCTGGGCTTGGATCTGCAAAAGACGGCCTGGGACGACCTCTCGAACACTAGGGATTGCAAAGGCTGTGCTAGAGAGCATGCACAGAATGCCCGCATACCTATCAGGTTGATCAGGCCCATAGCCTGAAGTATGCATGCAATGCCAATGGCCGCTCCGGTAGTCGGAGGTTTCCCTCCAATGAGTCTCAAGCAAAAGAATCGCATCGTATTTGGTCTGCGTTTCGCACCAAGCCATAAATTCTTGAAGCATGCCTGAGTTTAAGCCCCCGGTATTCCACACGAAGACTGAAAAGTTCGGGACCGGCCTGCTTCTTTGCGGTCGTGGCTGCTTTGCCCTCCTGCCAGAGGGGGCTAAGGTGGCTTGTCCTAGGGTTGCCAGGTTTTGACGGCTGTGCCACCGGCCTTTGTACCAGGTACCTCCATTGAGAGCCTGACCGGCTCGCTTGCATGCTCGATTGAATGCTCTTTTCGTGCTTTTTGGGATTGAGCGATGTTCCCCGCCTCTGTGCGCTGAGCCGCTTGGCTTCCCCACTGGCTGAAGGCTTCCAGCTGTGAGTCCTTCCTCTGTGGCGGCAGCAGAGGACACCCTCACCCCTACCATGGCATACCAGACTATCAATTTATGAGGTCTTAACATGAATCCATGGTCTCCGGACTTGGGACCGGAGCGGCTCAATGTCGCCCTATGTTGGGGCTGACTGCAGTCTGGGACAGCTTGCTGTGGAGTCTGATTGCAGTGGTGGCATCGTCGGGTTCGGTTACATTGGGGCTTATGGAAGAGGTGCTTAAGGAAGGAAGCATCGGAGAGTTTAGGGAGTTTAGGGAACTGGGGAAGCCTAGGGAGGGAGGTCTTTATTCGATAAAGGACAGAACGACGGTGCTGTCCTGAGGCTTGGCCAGGTGCTTTGCCACAGCTGGTGGCGTGCTTGCCAGCAGCTGCACCACGCCTACGGGCACGAGAGAAAGGCGTGCTCGGGCTGTGTGGGTGCAAGACGGCAAGTACCTGAAAGAGTCTATTGCACAAACTGCGAGGGCGTCCTACAGGAGTCAGATCCCAAGTCGAACCCAGCCTTTCAGTGGCCAGACGGGGCTGCTCGATCGCCGGCATGGTAGGTATGAGTGGCTCGGAACTCAAAGGTCGCCCATTCTTGCAGAAATGTGCCGGTGAGCCTCTGGGAGGCCAGAGTCTGTATACTTTGCCAAGCAGATTGTAGCAGTTTGCGGCGGAGGGCCCCCACTCGTGCAGCGACTGAGCGGCTACTGAGCTCAGCATGCTGGTCCCGGAGCTGTCGCCGAAACAGATTGATAAAGAAGTCTCTCGCCTCTGCCAGTTCATCGCCTTCCAAGATAACAGACGTGTCGGACCACCAACCGTCTGTTTCGCACCCTCCTGCTGCCTCAGTCGACTCCTGTTCATTGTTGTCATGCGTAGAGGAGGAGTCTGAGGACGATGAAGAAGTTTCCGGGCGAGGGCGCCTCGCTGGCGTCGTCCTGCCCGGCTCGTTACTGTGGCCTTCTGCGTTCCGGTCTTCCTCTGGTCGTCGTGGTTGGTCGTCATATGGATCTGGACCGTTGACAGGCCGTGGGCGCGGTGGCCCTGCAGGCCGATAGCCAGGATGCCCCTGTGGCAGGGGCCCATCTCTTGCCTCATCTCGTGGAGTGCGGCCAGCACCCACGTCATCAGAAGAAGAGTCCATGCCATGATCCGACTCTGCATCTTCCATGCAGCTTTCGCCAAAGACAACACACAACCGCGAAGACACCCCAACCCCGAACCGCCAGAAACCCACAGACAGGGCCTCAAGATCTGCGAGCCGAGGGGCTTAATCATCAAAATCAAAATCATCGTCATCACCACCAACATCATCATCGCCATCAGCATCCCCATCAGCATGATCAGCATCCGCATTGTAGCATCAAGGTCACAATCCGTGATGTGAATATCGCCGTCGGTATCGCCTTCACCGGCACAATCATCATCAGCAGCACAGAAGCACCTCCAATACTTCGATCCTCACAACAATTCTACCCGTATGTGCATAGCCGGCTCCTTCCATGAGCTTGCGATTGTTTGTCGCACCAAAATGCGGGCTTATGTCCTTATGGTAGCCGAACCCAAACCACCAAATCCCGAAACCCTAATCCCTAGAACCTGAAACAATAAATCCTACTCCCTGGAAGTCTAGGGCCCCACAACCCTAAGTCCAAACCAGTTTTATGGTTAGGATCCTACAATAGAGGTTTTGGTTAACCCAAAAAAGGAACTACAATGGAGACTAGAGGTAGGATTCCTAAACCCCAGGTTCTGCTGGAAATGCCTGCATCTTTGGCTGTCGGCTCCCAGGAGGCGCGCTTGGCATCAGAATCACACAGAAAACTAATCCTAGGGCTTAGGGTTTAAATCAGGGCTTAGGATTTAGACTTAGGGTTCAGGATTTAGGGTTTAGGAATATTTATGATCTTGATTTGAGGCTTAGGGTGTATCTTCATGGTTTCGGGTTTTGGGTTCGAGCGACATATGGTACGTACATGCATTACATGCGCATCTCTGGCCTCTGCGTATACAAGGCGGCACTCGGGCTTCGATTGCAAGCAAAGATAGACATCCAAAGGGTATACCCCAGAACAATAGTCAAATTATGAAGTTCCCAACATTTAAAATACGAGGTCCGCCTTCGGAAGCCTGCAGCCAAGCGACGGCCGCAGCAGCTGTCCCGTGTGCAAGGTCGGGCCAGTAGCATTCTGGCTGTAGGCACATTTGTAGGGCCGAGGGGATGTATGTGGTTTCTAACTCAGGCTAGGATGATTTAGGATCCTGTCGGTTAAGGCGCCGACTACGGCTTCAACGTTGAGGGCTAGGCTTGATGTGTTCTGGTGAAGAGAAATGGGACTTCAGGGTGGGAAGGTTGAAGGGGGCTTCTGTCACCAGACCTTGAATCCAAGCTGCTGAGTCCCCGATACACTCGAAGCCTAAGCTTTCCGAGCACAAGACACCCCCAATCCAGAAAAATTGCATCCGTCAGAGCTGTTTGCCAAGGCTGCTGTGTCTGCGCAGACCGTCATACCCGTCTATGCCAGGGACAGCACCGGCCAGCCAGCAGAGGGCATTGACACAGTTTTCCTGCAGGGGTGTTAAGGCTAAGGGGTATCAGAATTGAGTTCAGTGGGGCCAGGGGCTACGTGGGAACAACGACGTAGGAGTGGCATTTGTATTGGTAGCTGCTGTAGTAGTAGCCATACTTGCAGCACTCCCAGTAGCAGTAGCGGCATGAGCATCCAAATGGCTGTGAGCATTGAGCACCGCTGTACCAATCGGTACAACAGCTACTGTCAACTGTCAACGGCATCAATCATTGCGACTTGCGATCATTGTGCTCGCTATTGTCGTTGCTACGGTTATTATTCGTACCTCGTTTTCGCTACTACCATTATTGCTGCGAAACATACAGGCCTTCCTCGCAGGCGCCCAAGCCTTTGCAGCTCAGTGCTGAGGGACTCGGAAACTTGAATCTGCCGATGCTGGTGTTGCTCGTAAGACCGTCCAGGAAACAGGCAGAGGTACTGCAGGGTTAGATGGTTTGTTGGTCTGGCTTGTGCATTATCAGCCTCCAGGCGGAAACTCCCAAATCACGTAGCAACGGCAGGTACCGAAGAGCTGCAGCGCCCCGAGAACGTCCCTCCACGACCTGCAGGCAAGGAAGTCCGAGAAACCGGAATCAAGTGAGAGACAAGGTTCGAGCAACTAGTGGTGAACATGTAGAAAACTGAGGCATCGGCATGCTGATCTTCATGCAGGCATGTAAAGTAGAATAACTAGAATCTTACAGCAGCCTGTGGAGGGGCGGTATTGTAAGTTCATAGAGCTATTGATATAGTTAAGCAAAGCTGTTTGTGGCAAGTAGCGGTGGAAGATGTCTCATGGTATAGAACAGGGTTCGGTAACACGAATAGCAAGTAAATCCATGAGCACTGCAGACATGACCTTCCTGGCTAAAGCCCTATCAGATAAACTTTCTGCCTCATCGTAGCTCCCGCAGATCCCTGACGCAATGCAGGCGAATGGCAGAATCCGGAGCCACCAGAGGCCGAGGCCTTCGCCTACGGCGGCACAGCCTCGCGCTACAGGCTCGCCCCTTGGGTTTTGGGTTGGTTTGTTAGGCTTGAGGTGGTGCAAATCCGCTAGGATTCTTGAGGCTTTCGGAGCGACTGTAGCAAGCATCTCAGCTTTGTTGATGGGTTTCAGACAGGCAGGGTGCCTGGATAAAGCCTCGAACCGATATGGCTGAATGCTACACAGCACTGCCGGCACTTTTCAATGTGCCCGCCTGTATATGTGTATTTGCTGGTGTAAGCAAGCAAGCTAGCAAGCAAGCTTGCAACAGCCACGCACGGGCGCTCGTCATTTTGGTGACTCGTTTTTAACATTGTATATGCGCATACCGGACGGACATATGGAGAAAGGGACAGAGAGGAAAAGGAAGGGGCATGGACAGGAAGAAGAAGGAGGGAGAGGGAGAGCAAGAGCCAGCCAGCCATGACGAAATTCAGCGTACAAGTGCCACAGGCAGTGCTGCAAGCTTTACTTTATGGCTGAGCAGCCAAGCATCAGCACATTGGGCGAACATGAGACCGAAGACCCATGACCGCATGGAACTCCTGGTGAGAGATACAGTACGACATACAGCCCAGGAGACTCGCCAGAATCAAGGGTAACATTGCTGAAAAAAGCGAAATGCTTTAGAGACAGCTGCCCAAGTTCAATCTCATGCCCTGTGATCGTCTTCCAAGCAAACAGATGGTACAAAGCATGTGCTAAAACAAGCTCCTGCAAGCTTCATTCTCCGGCCGTGCTTGTTGCAGCTTCTCGGCGGGCTACGGGCAGTTCCCCGTGGTGTGCGTGCAGCTGGGGCTGGCATGTGAGATCGAACGGAAGCTTCCAGTAGGGCAGATTCAGTCTTGCGCAGGTCCGTTCCTATCCTTGCGCATGTGGCATCACAGAGACCCAGAGCCTGAGGCTGGCACTCGTGGGAGGCCGGAGCTTTGGCGGCCCAGCCGTCGCCTTACCATAAGGTTTCTTTCGAAGATTTCGAGGATAGTGTGGATCCCCACGATCAACATTAGTGTTGTCAGAATGACATCAAGCATGAGTCGTCGTCATATATAGTTGCTTTCGTCCTCGTCCTAGTCGTCGTAGTTGTAGGTGTAGCAGTGTAGCGGTGTAGCAGGATGGCAGGGTAGCAATGTAGCTTCGTAGCAGCGTAGCAGCAGCAGCAGCAACGGCAGCAGCAGTAGACTTACTGATGGCAATAGTAAAGCCCTCCGACCCAGCTCAAGAAGCATGGACAGGGGGCATGCTGCACACCGAAGCCGCATTACATGCCCCTTACTTACATAATGTACCTAGCAGCAAGAGCCGAGGTGAATCGAAGAGCAGCGCTTCTCTTCGGTCTCCTAGCCGGAGCTGCATTTGTTTCCATGTTCCTGCTCTAGCCACCCTGACCCTGGCCTTCCGAGGGTTCCGGTTCCGTACTGGCGGCTGATTCATGATGGTTATTCTTGCAACAAGCGTCGTCATTGCTCTCCCTATTGGGTTGTATGAGTTTCATGTGACAGGCAGCAGAAGGCTTATGCAGCTTGTCAACCATGTGTACCTGAGATTTACCACCATCACACAAGTCTTCGCTGCAGGATGCTCGATTTAAGCTTCCGTTTCCCGGCCAAAGACCTGCTGGAACCTGACATCTGCTCCGATGCAAGTAGGGGATACAAACCAAACGTAGCACAGCCACTTTGGCAACTTCGATGACGAGCACCAACGTGCAAAGTGCCGTCTCACGCAGATGTCAGACGTTGCGATGTGTTGTGGTACTCGCCATATTACGGATCAAGGGCAGCCAGCAGCGCGCGTGTGACACAAATTCCTTCCTCGAAGCGTCTCGTTTGGTTTGGCACCAAAGTACGGAGAAGCAACTTCCGGCCCATGAAAAACTCCAGGTGTATGCTGAGCACACGAGGCACAACGTCGTTTGCCATGGAATTGGAAGACGCACTCCGATGACTTCAGGCTCAAGTGCTAGAAATGATATCTTCTCTTGGCGCCAGGGTTCAGCATTGCTGAGCCCAAGGTATGCCTGGCAGGAGTTGAGGATGCTGATGTGGAGGTTGCTTTAAGCCAGGCCTGGAAGAACAAGCAGGATATGTTATCATTATTTTTATGATACATATATAATGTTTTGTTTTATATAATCCCAATCTTCCTTGCTTGGCTTCTGTAGGCAGCCAGGGCATGCCCTGCGCAAGGCAGAAGGTCCAGCGACGATTTTCGGATGGTGATAGCAGCTTTATACGACTCGTGCCAGGAACGCTTCTGCACCTCATGGGGCAGGGGCTAGTGGGTGACTTACTTCTGCGTCTGCACGTGTCTGTCTGTGAGTTGCTCAGCCTGTCAAAAGCAGATAATGGGGGATGGCCATGCCTCTTGTGACAGTTTATTTTTGCGATAAGGGCAACGCATAGCAATCCAAAAGCCCTGGACCCCTCAACCCGTCAAGACGAAACCTAAACCTCAATCCCCATACCCTAAGCCCTAAGCCGTAAATCAAGACAACCTACGCCTTGAATCTATACAACCCCAACCCTAAATCCAAAAACCCCAAACCCGGAATGAAGATGACTTGCTGTTTCCAAGTCCGGCGCGAAAACCAAAATCGCCGGCGTTCTCGGCGGCAAGGGCCCGAGGCTTACTACGTTGTTTTGAGTTGGTACGGATGTAGCAGTCGTGGTAGTAGCAGTAGTCAGTAGTCGCAGTCGTAGTTCCAGTAGTCGTCGTAGTCGTAGTTGTCCTCGTAGTACTAGTTGTCGTGGTAGTAGCGGTAGTAGTAGTACTAGTAGTACTAGTAGTACTAGTAGTTGTAGTAGTAGTAGTAGTAGTGGTAGTGTAGTAGTGGTAGTAGTAGCAGCAGTAGTAGTAGCAGTAGCAGCAGCAGCAGTAGTAGTAGCAGGAGTAGTAGTAGTAGTAGTAGTAGTAGTAGTAGTAGTAGTGGTGGTGGTGGTGATAGTAGTAGCAGTAGTAGTCTGAGTATTACTAGTAGTACTAGTACTAGTACTAGCATGACGGTGCTGATGTTCCCATGTACACAAAACAGCAGGCTCGCCCCCGATACCCTTCAACCTCCAGCTCTGTTGTAGCAAGATCCCTTGTCATGAAGCCTCAGATTATCCTGGGCGTCGGACTCACTCGGCAGTACAAGCTGTCTGCGTCGGTGAAAGGTTAGCTGTTTAGAAAGCGACCAGAGGCACGCCTTGCCGCTCTGGACTGATAAGAAAAGACTCCCAATGCTGTCAGAAAAGAGCTACTACAATACGCCGTAAACCCCAGACCGGGAAGCCCTAAACGCTTAGACTCAAATCCGAGGCTCTGAAACCACTGGCGGCCGCCCGAGACTACGGGTTCTGCGACGATTCATAGGTTCAATCCTTCACCTTTGGCGTCAGATAACTCAGGATTAGTGGCATTGGGTTTTAGCGATACAATGCAAATGCCGGAGGTTCAGAGTTGGACTTTGGCTGCGTTTTCTCAGAGATCTTTTCGCAAGCGTAGTACACAGTCTAGACCCTGAACAAGTAGCCAGTTCAGGTAATCCACAGGATTAGGCTGCTGCGGCCCGGGAAAAATGGTTACAGTGGTAAGCATCATAACAAATCACTGACGGCAACAGTCGTGAACAATGGCAGAAGTAGCTACAATTCTGTTAGCACGGCTAACACAGCCTGAACGGTATCCCTACAGCTGAGGTCAGAAGCCAAGGCTGATACTCGAGACCGCTTCGTTTAGGGTTTAGGGTTTAAGGTTCAGGACCTCATTAGTACAGCAGACCCAAAGGCAGGCATACCTTGACGGAGTCCCTGGCGAGGGCTAGACACATGTTCTGATTGGATTGTTAGGTCCGCACGGAACCTGAAGTTCCTTCGATGGCCGCCCAGTAATTACTATAAGGTCCTTAATAAAGCTTGAATAACTACCTATACTATTTAGGCGGCTCCTTTTTGTAATCATAAGTTATAAGTTATAAGGCCTCAGGGTGAGATGCGAGCCGAAGCCCCAAAGCCTGACTTCACCGCCAAGGTGCGGCCGCTTCAGGCCGGAGAGAGATATTCGGGTGTTGGGGATCCAACTAAAACAAGGGCCCAACTAGTTATAAGTACCTATGTATATATATATATATATATATATACATTTTTTTTTTTTTTGGGGGGGGGGGTCCTTATTAGTTATTATGATTGTAGTATAATGGGCCCCAAAATATTATTCTAATTCATTAAGGCCCTTATGCTAAGTCCAAGTTTCTTGGAGGTTGGGGCTCTCTCTCGAGCTTAGCCTGCATGTTCGGCCCATGCTTTCGGTTTTTTCGTTTACTCAACGATTCACATCGGCGAGTCTGTCGGTGTTGTTTGCCAGGATGAAAGAAGAAATGACCCAAAATGACTCACCAAGTTACTTGCAGCAGCAATGGTAACCCTGGTATGTATTCCTGACAAGGATTACGCTGTGGCTCTGGCTTGCCATGCCAGGTGGCAGCAAAGAGCCGGTTGAAGGCCAGTACACCGTGCAAGAGGCAACTGGGCGGCAGGCCTTGTGCAGCGTGCTGCAGCTTGGTGTTTTCGAAGCTTCGATTGTTTACCGTACAAACTCGTAGCTACATCGTGGCTCGGTGCACTCCAAACTGTCTAGGCCGCGACGCTCATTTCTTTGAAAGTTCTTCGCACATCCCGACCTGCAAGTTGCTGTGCTTGGTTTGTGTAGGTTTTAAGTTCAGGTAGGTTTCCCATGACATTCGAACTAAACATCCAACGCCCTCAGTCTTGAGCATCGTTTGAAGACGGAAGTGGTCAATCACCAAGGCTTTGAAGCTGCAGCAGGCTCTCAAGGCTCGTGTTGCACGTCGCATTCGGAAGTTGACTCGGGAGTTTCCGAAACCCTAAGATGGTACCCGAAAGGAACCTTATCAATTATAAGGATCCCAAAATAAGCTACCCCGAATTTTCGGAACTCCCACTCCTGTCTTGACATTTTCCATGCAGGGACTCGTCGCTGAGCAAATTCTGGGCTGACAGCATGACATACTGCACGGATGATGATGGTTGGCCAAGCCTAAAGGTTCGGGGGTTTTGTACTCTGCTCATCAGCCACCACCGTCCATTTCACGAGCTGTGCAGCTAACCAGTTGTTGCTGCATGCCAAACTAGCCAACTCAGAGATACTCAGCACTCCGTGGATGCCGCATACACCAGAAATCTTCCCGTATCTTCTTGTGCAGAGGCTGCATTCGCAGAGGATCAGTTCCAGAAGCTTCTGAAGCTGGCGCAGGAAGCCGCGTCAGACGTTCGGTAGAGCTAGCTTGAATCGCACATGAGCATATCCGAGCTAGTGCATATGCTGCACATATATATATATATGTATATATATATATGTATATACACACACATGTGGACACAAATCAGAACAATGGTTGCGGCTGTGTGCTGCACTGTGCAAGTGACGACATACCAAGCATGTACGTACAAACGCTGTATCGCACTGTTGTTCTTGGCACACTCTTGCAAAGTGTGGTGCAAGACTGGTGCAGTACAGCAGAGGCACAAGAAGAAATGGTGGAGATGCAAGGAGCTGTAGTGCCGGTGGTAGCAGAAGCACCAGCACCAGCACCAAGGAGGGAGGAGGAGGAGTAGCAGAAGGCTTGAAGAAGAAGGAAGAGCAGTAGCAGTAGCAGCTATTACTACTACTACTACTACTACTACTACTACTACTACTACTACTACTACTACTACTACTACTACTACTACTACTACGACTACTACTACTACGACTACTACTACTACTACTACTGCTACTACTACTACTACTACTACTGCTGCTCCTCTGATGTTTTATTCTGGATCGAAATTTTGTACCAGGACCGGCACCCAAAGCGGGGACAACGAGGGCACTCGGACCAAGCTTCCCGGCTTGGCAACGGAAGTTTCGATAAACTCTCGCTTTTTGTGCTTCCATTATCTGGGGTCTGGCACCCTTGCACGCTGCGTGAGACAGTGTGGAAGCCGATGCTCAAGTCAGACCGGATGATTATGACGAAGCTTGAATCCCTAAGCCCTAACCCCGGGGACCCAGGCTGCATTCACTTTGCAGCTGCAGAGTCTGCTGGCCGCTCCCTCGTTGTCCTGGTAGTTGTTTGGCTAAACTCGGAGTTTCTCCGGGTTTGGGGGGTTTAGGGTTTAGGGTTTAGGAGCTTAGGGTTTAGGGTTTAGGAGCTTAGGGTTTAGGCTTTAGGAGCTTAGGGTTTAGGCTTTAGGAGCTTAGGGTTTAGGGGGAGCTTGTGGAAGGTCTCCGACACCTTTCGTCTAGGGCATTGACGCAATGTTGCAACTGCGATATGGCCAGGACAGAAGTCCGCTGCTTCACTAGCCAGTACACCTTCGGATACCTCTGGAGCTAGAAGCACATCACTGATGAACGAGTAACTGACAACGCTCCTCCACCCTCGCATGTCTAACACTGGTTTGGAGAGAGAAGAGCTCACGGCCACTCTTTCAGAAGGGTGCCAAGTCTTGCCGATTGCCCGCCCTGCCCAGCTCCATGTGTACCGCACAGTGCTGCCGCAGTCGCCGGGAACTCAGACCGGATGCTGCAGGGGAATCTAGGAAGGCTTGGGGCTTCATGCAGAAGCTTGCTGGAAGGATGTTTCTAAGATTTAGAGTCTACAATCCCCACACTAATCCCACAAGACCCCTTCTGACACCCTGAAGCCTTGCATCTTGCCTTGCTGTTACGACAACTCCAGGAGCCTACTTGGAGGATCATGGGACTTAGTAACTAAGGATATAAATAAGGTAACTGTACTTATAACTCCTATTAGGGTATTTCTAACCTTACTTACTAAGTCCCATGATCCTCCAAGTAGGCCCTAAGATCCCGAAATTCCTCCTGGCATCCTTCGGGCCTGAGGCCTTGGTGCCTCCAGCCGGGCTGGGAGGCCTCTGACCTTCTTTTGGGTTTGGTGACTTAGGCTACAGGGGTCTGAGGTTTGGTATCTTTTGGGTACCATAGCAAGTCTTTCAATTCGGTTAAGGTTTTCAGGTGAGGTTTAAGGCTTCAGGGACCTAAACCGCCTGATGTCGTAGACTTGGATGAGTGCCTTCTGCTGCAAAAGTCTGAAGAAGGGGGTTTATAGTAGATACTGCATCAGGCTAAATTAGCTACTTGGTGAGTGAATGCCGTACAGGAACCTACTACATATTTTACACATGCAGATGTGTAGAGGTACGCAGGCACATGAACAGCAACTTGCGATGCTGCGATGTTGAGAGCATACCTCTTGTGGAAGCGCCTTGCAAGCGCAGGGCTACCGGGAAATGATGCTGCGAATGACTGTGGCAATGGAGGACAGGGGGCCAAGTTGTTCTTTGCGGCTGTATGTCATCTTATGGTTGAGGGTCTGGATTTAGGTGCCTTCCTTCCAGTATTAAACAAAAAATCCACAAGAGGCTAGTTTCAACACGCTGGTTTGCAAGCCGACTACGACGCAGTGCGGTCGGTCTGATCTTGGGAGCTTGGGAGTAGCAATTACACTGGTAGAAGGTCTCGCAGCAACCCTAAACCCTAAACCCCTAAACCCCTAAACCCTAAACCCCTAAACCCTAAACCCTAAACCCTAAACCCCTAAACCCTAAAACCCTAAACCCTAAACCCCTAAACCCTTAAACCCTAAACGCATGGTGATGCGAGCTGCCTGCGTGGTTTGGTTGCGAGCTCGTGGCGAGGCTACGGCTGCTGAGACATGGGGGGAATTGCAATTCAATTCCATTAGAGTTTAGGGTTTAGGGTTTTAGGGGTTTAGGGTTTAGGGTTTAGGGTTTTAGGGGTTTAGGGTTTAGGGTTTTAGGGTTTAGTAGCAGTCAAACCCCCGTCTGCGTTTGACAACTGTTCCAGCTTTGCGTCCCAGCAGACCTAGCCGAAGATGCCGAGAAAATCCAGATTTAAGAAGCACTTGGCAACATGCGTGTGTGTGTGTGTGGTACCGACCACCTGGTTGCCCGGATCTTGAGTAGATTCCGTTCTACGTGCTTCGAAGTGTTCAGGAGGAACTCAACCGACCCCACAAATGCCATGGCTGGGCTTGCTCTCCCATAGTGTAAGAAGCTCGTAGCCATACTAAGCAAGACCATAAGAGGCTCCAGGACTGAGACCTTGGAGGCCCAAAGTCATCCCCGAGCCAATCCCAGTCCACACATTGCTTTGACGAAGGACCCACGGGTAATCCAGGCGAGAGAAGACATCAACAGGCCGTCTTTTCTGCCTGGCAGTTTGCCGGCGAGTGCTCGCAGCAAGACTCGCAGTTGCACTAAGAGTACTGCTAGTAACATTGAACTATTGATGCGACCCTACCGGCCGAACGAGCGACCTGCCGACGTACCTACCTCCCTAGATAAGTACTTGCGGACGTACGTATGTACATGCATACGTGCCTGCACACATACATACAGACATACTTACATACATGCACGCGCACAGACATACATACACACGTACATACATACATACATCCCTACATCCATGCATCCCTACATCCATACATCCGTGCCTGCACGCATACATGCAATACATACATATGTACGGGCAGGCAGACAGACGGACAGACAGAGACAGACAGACCAGATGTGCCTGTGTATAGGTGTCTACCTGTCTGCACAATACCTTTGCGGATATGTACGTATGTCTTCATGTACCATGGTGCAACGAATATTCGTAGTATGCATGCATGCATTAAAGCATGGGTGTCTTTCTTTCTGTATCTATGCCATGTATGCCTTCATGAATGCATGTGCCCATACCACGGACTTCAGTGTGACTTTTCTCCGAGCTCTGGCAGGTTACTCGGCCTACCCAGGCACACGGTCATTCAGCCGCCCGCTGCCGAGCCAGCCGGGCATCCAAGGGCGAAGAAGCCAATGCAGTTTGGTGGCGGGCGCTGGCTCGTAGTATTTTGGGTTCTGTCTTCTCGGCGGGACTTCGCAAGCAAGCTAAGCCTGGGTGCTTATCCGTCACACAATCCTTCTGAAATTCAGAATCTATTGGCATACTGAATTCTTCAAGTTTTCTTGAGGCTGCACAGACAAGTCTCATTATCAAGTCTTGTGGTCAGCCATGACTACTCCAACCTGGACGTTGATGTTGCGATGATTGTTCCTGTTACATCGTCTCCGTGTCGTAGCATTAGCAGTACGTAGTTGCAGTAGTAGTAGTAGTAGTAGTAGTAGTAGTAGTAGTAGTAGTAGTAGTAGTAGTCGTAGTAGTAGTAGTAGTAGTTGTTGTTGTTGTTGTTGTTGTTGTTGTTGTAGTTGTAGTTGTAGTTGTAGCAGTAGTAGTAGTAGTAGTAGTAGTAGTAGTAGTAGTAGTAGTAGTAGTAGTAGTAGTAGTAGTAGTAATAGTAGTTCCTGCTCCTGCTCCTGCTCCTGCTTCTGTTGCTGCTGCTTTTGCTGCGGCCATTTCTGTTGCTGTTGCTGTTGTTGTTGCTGTTGTTGCTGCTGCCGCTCGTCGTCGGCTTACTATCCGTCTCTTATTCTTCGTTTCTGTCTATTGTTGTTGGTGGTGGTGGAGTCGTTGTTGTTGTTGTTGTCGCTTCAGCAGCTTCAACGAGTGTAGTTTTGTTTGGAGGGCTTGGTGTCACCATTTGTTCGTAGGTTTGCGAGGTCGGCGTCGGGGGTCTCATAGGGTTCTCTCGCTGGCCATGGCCATTTTACCGGCGAGCAAGCGGGTAGAGGCCCGCTGTATCGTTAGGAACCATTGGTAAGACGTGCTAGCCGAATCGGAACGAGAACAGCATCAGCACAGGTGAGGTGGAAAAGGAGATGAAGAGTGGCGAAACCCAAAGCGGAAAGGGCAAGGAGAAGCCCGAAAGCTGTCAAGTAAATAACATCTAGAGTTTGGAAGGAGATGAGAGCCGGCACGGCCTGAGTCCTCAAGAGGGAAGAGGCCCTGAGCCGACAGGAAAGGAACCCTAAGGAAGATTTTTGGTCATGATTGACCCCACAGGTTTTTATCGAGACTCCAGATGGGTCTGGCCGCTACCAGGGCTTGTCGGGGGCTCGGGGCAAGTCCGGGGGATGTGGTCGTCGGGTTTTAGGAATTCTTCAGCTGGGGGGGCTTCTGCTTTTCAGAAATTGCCAACGGACATGCGGGCTTCTAGGGCACACCGCACAGCGGCATCGCTGGCCTTCTGTGTCTAAGGATATCCAAGATGCTGTCAGCCTTTTCGTGGCTTAAGACGTTTGTGACTCGCAACTGCCGTGTCTCCAGCACACCGCAGTTCAAGGGGCACAATGCAAGACGCAACTAGATTAGCACGGCACCCATTCTGAGCTCGGCATTGCGATGTGTCATGTCGGCAGGGTCGGGAGTCTTGGCCAAAAGGCATTCTATCTTGGAATCCCCTGACAGCCCTTTCCAATCCCAAGCGCTTTCGAAGGATTTACTGCGTTTTAAGGTGGAGAAGCTGACCACCGAGGTCTCGAGTAGCACAGGAGATGTCAACTTTTAACACTTATACATGAGCTCTCATGGTAGAGAATTTTTAACCCGGCAGTTTGAAAACCCTAAGGCCCTGAGCCCTAAAAGCAGTCAAAACCCTATCCCCAACGTTTAGGCCTGCTTCTTGGCCCACACGGGAGCTTCCGAAATAGGGAACCATAGTACCCTAAATGGTAGGATCCTTATTATAAGGACCCCAAAATAATGTTTTTCGGAAACTCCCACACAAACCTCACGCAGACAGCAGATGTCAGGCTTGGAGCCCCAATGAAGCAGGATGCAGATGGGGATTATGCCCATGAGTTCTGGGAGGAAAACAAGGCCCGGCAGGACTTGGGTATACTATACTGTACTATACTTACACTATACGAAACTATGCGGTAATGGTTTGGGGATTTTTAGGAGCCTTTGCTGTACGATCACTCACACCCCCCGCAAGCTGGTCTGAAACTCTCCCAAGCCGGAAGTGCAGACAGCAACACCACAGGCTACACCTGCCCGGGCTATCTCGATAATGCTGCTGCCCCCCACGCAGACACTGGCACTGTCAACCCCGCCTGCGCGCGATAGTGGAGTTGCTTATGATGGCGACTGGCTACAGGAGGTTTTCGCAGTAAGAGAAGTTAGTTCGAGCTTGAGTTTTCATTTTAGCGCGCCTCATTTCGAGTTTTGCTGCGAGGAGGCGAAGGAAAGGAAGTAAGAATAGCAACACGAGCAGCAGGAATAATGTTTATGTTTTCAATAGCTGGTGGTATCAAACTACGTGCAAAAGTAATTCGAATGGATTGGCAGCGCCATCAGCTTGTAAGCGCAGCATAAGATAAGAAGAGCAATCGTGGCAGGAGCGGGAGCAGAGGCAGAAAGGCAACATCGACACCTAAAAGCACAGCAGCGGCATCAACAAAGGAGCCAAGCTTCTATAGCACAGGAGCAGCACCCTTCACTGCGACGGCGACGGCAATCACGTCAGCCACCATAAGAACCCCAAGCACAGCAACCCCTGGAAGAGCAAGGACGATGATCACAGTGTGACCTCCCTTAATTTCTTGAACATGACAGCTGACAGCAACCAGCCAACCCTCTGTCCAACGAAGCTTCAATCAAGGCTGCCACAACCGGGCGGATTGCGTCTCCAGGGCTCCTTCTTTGAGATTGTGTGCAAGAGGCTTGCAAACTCCAGGACGAAGGGCCCTCAAACACCCCAGCAGGCTCAACCTTGTTGGCCGAGCCCTACCACGTTCCAAAATCAAGTAACTCAGTAAGCAGACCAGAAAGGAGATACATTACCCCTGTCGAAGTTCCAGAAAAAATGTCTCGAGCAAATCCTGAAGCCATGAATCCTGCAGGAAGGGCATTTGGTGCTCGTCGCTCCGAACATCGCAGCTGGGCTCTGCAAGACTACTGCATGCTTTCTTGGAAGCAGGTGCAGCATTTCCAACTAAAACCTAGATTCCCCACCACTCACTGCACAGCCCTCAGTGCAAGAACACCCATACTAGTCAACTAGCGATAGTCTCCCAAACTAACAACGATGCTGAAGCAACCTGCGGTGGTAATGAAGACAGCCATAGAAAGCTCAAAACCAAGCAAAAAACATGGGAAAAAGCCGAGGCAGCTGGAGGCTAATCATTTTTCTCCTGGCGCAGCTCTGAGCTTGTCAGCCTTTGCCGCTCTTTGCGGGTTGTAAGGGTTGGGTACGGCCCCCACTCAGTAACAGTTGGATAATATTCATAATATAGATATATAAGGTCCTTAATAATGGCCCTATTATAGACTGTTACTGTGTGGGGGCCGTACCCAATGTAAGGCTTTGGTTTCAGGGTTTTGGGCTGAGGCTGCAGGGTTGTTCGGCTTTCAAGCTGTAGCCTCGCTACCGACACCTAGGCTGCAACCACAACGCTTCTTCGGAAGTAGCTGGAATTACAACGCTTCTTCGACAGTAGTTTAATAAGAATCTATGTACGGCTTCCCGCCAGTGCAAACAATCGGCTTTTCGAAGATTCTTGAGCTTGGACATGCGGACGCTCATCAGCCATGATCCCGAAGCTTCTTGGCTCCCACCATCTCCAAACTTTGTCATGGAGACTCGGAGAACTCTAGTACCTCTAATACAGAACGATGCAGCTTCTATTTGTCTTCGAAGTCAGCAAAGACCAAGCGTCCTTCCCAGGGATTCTCTCCGAAGATGAGAAGTCGAGCAACGGCACGGCTGCAAGACGCAGTCGAGTTGTAGATGCAACATACAAAGTCTCAAAGCGCGCACGGGAAAGAAAAAGGAGCGGCAGGAGTGCTCACGACGAGATTCTTACCATGAAGGATGGCACGTCGGATGAGTGGTGTTGGCTCGATGACAGCATACAGCTACAGATTGGTGGCAAAGTTAACTTTGTTCTTCGTTATCGTGCTTTTGTCATTCGCTTGAGCTCCGCCCCGGCCTTTGCCTTACAAGCTCACTTCTCAACTTGCATGGCTCAGGCTCCATGCATGCGCATGCAAGCATGATCAAACTTATCACACAAACTATCGAACGAGAAAAGGTATGCAATCTTTTCGTCGAGTTGGACCCTGTCGTCGACGTGTTGGGTGTGCGAGCACAAGACCACACAAATGATGTGAGTCACTATCTACAGAGAGCACCTGCGAGCATATGAGCCACAAGTGCATCTACCTCACCTAAAATGCATGCAGCAACATGCGGAAGAAGACACGCCTGTAAGTTGTCCCCGGAAGAGCATCTGCGGCTTGCTCCGCGGCCATTAATCGCCGCCCACAATGTTGCAACTCCGCAAGAACAAGATAGTGACTCAAGTGTCGAAAGGCCCGCGACTCAGTGCAGAGGCCATTCTCGCCAGAGACGACAGAGCAATGAGAAGACAAAGTCCGCACTCTTCCAGCTACATACACAACAGCCACTGTCCAACGTCCAGCTACAACCCTAAACCATAAACATCTAAACCCTAAACCCAAAAAACGGCAAATCCCCAATCAGTTGCTGCCAACTGGCGATCTTGCGTCCCAGGCCAGGTCGAGATCCGACAGATGGAGGCAAGCAGACCAGAATTCGATATGGGAGTTTCCGAAAATTAGGGATCCCACATTTTGGGGTCCTTGGGGTCCTTATCATAATCAGGATCCTACTGTTTAGGGTGCTGTATTTTGGTCCCTATTTTCGGAAAAGCCCATATCAGGTCTTGGGCTTGCGAAAGAGGGTTGTTAGTGCTCATCATCCTCATGTGCCCGAGAGGTCGACTGGTACTGCGGCAACTACCAGACGATCTCTGGCCCCTGCCTGAGAGAACTTTGTAGTTGAGTGGATACACTTTACACTTTTGGGGACAATACTACCCACTATGAAACTGAAAGCGTACACTTTTGGGGGCTTATGAACTCAGCAACTAAGAGAAACTTCAGGAACTGAGAGCAATGGCCTAGGACAGCTGCTGCGTCGTTTGTTGTAGCCAGGAGTGGTGCGTGTTTCGTTCAAGTTTCCAGGTCCTGAACGATGGCCCGCGCATTCTCAACCACACGAGCATACTAGGTGGTTCAGGTCCTTGCAGAGCCCCGAAACCCAGTTTCCTTATATGGGTCACAACTGTAAAACATGGCATCAAAGTAGCAGCGACCACGAATAAATGCCAACACGGCGGAACAGTCGTGAAAGAACATACCAGAACACTGAAATGCATGTGCTTGGCATGGGATGGCTGCAATTATATTGAGACTTTCTTCCTTCCATTCCATCGCAGCACAACAACAAGAATCCGGAACTTGCACCTTCACTGTGTGCTGAGCTTATTCCGAATCCTAACAGCATCTGGCAAGTTTCTGCCTTTGTTGACCATCGCGCTGTGTATGCCGAGCTGTCGTTACAAGCGTTCTCAATTTCAAGTGTACAGCCTTCCGCCTTCAAACTCGTTCCTGACCGGCGCCGGCCGAGCGACAATAAGTGCAAACATCTTAAGCCGGAAGCCCTGACACCACTCCATAGAGTGATCGACACATGGGAGTTTCCGAAAACTGGGGTACCTTATTTAGGGGTCCGTATATAATAAGGATCCCACTATTTAGGGTACTACATTAGGGTCCCCTATTTTCGGAAACTCCCAAATCGTGCCACTATGCACTGGTAATTGGCATCGGTTTTGAGTACTAAGTGATGCTGACAAGCAGTGTGCATGCTTGAACATTGCCATGTACCGACTGCTACTTCTGCATCCTGAACGAAAGCCCTGGGCCTTTCATCCCGGGATGCTGCCCAATGTAACTGTTATTACTATCATTACTATTTTTATCTATTTTTGCTGTTGTAGCTTGTCATCTCAAACGAAGGGACCTGGACTGGATCCACTCCTCTACTTAGACACCACGAACTTCGTAAGTGGAGCTGGGGTCCTGATTGAAGGCTAAAAGGCCCCGCTCAAAACCCCCTCAAAACCTTGCTTCCGCAGCGTTCAAACTCGAAGTGCGATCGATGCCCTTGAGCCTTGAGCCACTCACAGAACCCGTCAAATTAGTACCCTTATACCTTATATCAGCCTAGAGTATGTACCCCGTAGAACCCTTTCCGCAGCCCATGGTACCTCTGTAGCCGAAATGGCGAGGTCAGGCTGCCATGCTGGCTGGCTTCGCCTTTAACTTCCTCACCGCACCCATGCCCAAGGTTGCTGTGCTTGAAGGGAGCTAAGGGGATATGAGATTCATGTGAAAGCCCTTCCTCGTGACCTTCCAGACAGACTAAAGCCTAAAGGGTTTTGCTTCACCCGCTAGCTCTCTTCCTCTGTCTCTCTTTTTTCTCTCTATCTCTCTGTCTTTTGTCAAGGCCTAGATACAGACGGCGGCATGTGGTGCACATGATCCTTAGCCAGGAACCCTGAGGCAATAAAAATACCTGCAATGATGAGGCTCACTGCTACTCGTGCTCGTAGTGCTACTATTGTCCGTGTCTTGAACGGCTACTAATTGAGAAACCGAAACCCTCAACCCCAAACCCTGACAAGTCTTGCCAGAGCCACTTCTGTGGCAGTGCGACCCAACTGGTGAAGCCTTGCATTGCCTAGGGGCTTCTGTGTGCTTAGTCCATGGGCTCATGGCTTTCGCGGATTAGGTTTGAGAGGTTGAGGGTTTATAAGAAAAGATATCCCAATACCCTATTCTAATTATGAAGGCCCCTAATATAGAACCTATTATAGATCCATGGTTCAGGGCATGGGGGTGGTTCAAGGGTTGCGGACTCAGGGTTCTGGATTTAAACTGCTTTGCCAGTCCTGCTCGTCGCTGTCCCCAGAGAAAGCTGCTTCAGGGTTCTTCAGGTGTTCGTTACTTCAGGGTTTAGGTTTAGGGGTTAGACCACTAAGTGGTGTTTCTGATTATGCTCCCAGGAGTTCACCCAGCCATGGCAGCTGAAAGCAGTAGCAAGTTCCACTTTCTTCTGATCAGTACCTCTATGCCCTATGAGGACAATGCAACCTTTCGGGAAGCAACATCTTCAACTTCACCCCCTCATGCCGAAGCGATGGCAGGACAAAGAGCCTTGTATCTGGTTGGAGTTTTTCTACTTCTTCTGCGTGAGCACGGCCTTAGGCCCGCAGCTTGGAGAGCTGAGTTCCGAACGTTCGGTCCAATGTGGCTGTCAGCCTATGGGTCGTCATATTTCGGGCAGCACCCAGTATGAACTCGTCATTGAAAGGATTGAGATTATGTCCTCCGGGTTTGGAGATGTAGGTTGGATGTGACTATCATCCTAGCCGCGGAAGAAGCTGTCATGACGCAACTCTGTGCTCACTCTCAGCCGAATCCCCATAAAATCAGCTATATCCAAGAGATCATCACGTCAGAACCTTGAAGCAGCAGCTCCATAAAAAGCATTCGAGAATCCTAAACCTTGAACAACAAAGATCCTTCAACTCCAAAATCCTGGCTTCAGGCCCCAAATCCTTGAACGTTCCAAGCCGTTCCCCTACCTTGAAACCTTAGGTTCCCAGATTCCTCCAGGGATTCCCAGGTGCAGAGCTGGGCGTCATCGTTATTTCCAGCTACCTCTCAGTTTGGGCACCTTCGCTGGCCCTGCTGCAGCCTCAGGCACTCAGTACTATGACCTCATATGACCTCATATCGCCCAGGATGGGATTACTACGACTGTTCTTACCTTTGGTTAGTAGGGAATGGAAGAACGATGGTAATAGTAGTTATATTTGTACCCCAGTCCTCCATTCCCCACTAACCAAAGGTAAGTGTTGTACCAGCCCTTTCGCCTGCATTACAGATCCTAGTCTAGCCGCATCCGAGAGACGGTTGTAATTCTCGTGATTGTTGTTCCTCCTCCTCAGCCTGCGGCCAACGCAACAGCGCAGAGCCACAGTGACTTTGTACTTTCGTCGCTGTCACTACCTACCACAGTGCCACCACAACCACTTCTCCGACTACTACTACTATCGCTGTTACTTGTGCTTCCACTACCAAAACCACTGCCACTGACAGTACGGGGACGACTCCTCCTCCTCCTCCTGCCCTTCGTCCCTGCCCACCTACCTGCCTGTACTGCCGATGCTACTGCTTCTACTACTCCTTTCCTGGTCAGTCAGACTTGCGATATCTGGTTTGGTTCGTCTCAGCTCAGGCGCGGGAAGCGCGGTGCCGTTGATCTGCACAAGGACGGGTAACTCCAAATATGCCCTGAATCTTGCTGGTCATCTCCGGCCTCTAAGCAACAATGAGGGTGTCGATTCCAGAAGATATAAGATTTCTGAAGAGCGCCATGAATGCAGTGGGTGTGATCTGGCTCCCCGAATAAGTAGCAGTCCATCTGAGACTGGGTTAAAGCAGGTACGATGCAGCTCATGTCGCAAATGTAGTGCAGATGTCCATCAATTAAACACCAACATGGAGGACGCAGTCAACTGCGACTTACTCTTGCAGAACCCGGCCCTAGCTCTCCCGTTCTCATGGCACACTGTCTTGGCATAGGCCCATGGGGTATGCGCACAGGTCCCGGAGCTCCACAGCTAAATGCTACTTGCGCGATCTGAAGTTGTTGGGAGTCGGCTGTGCCAGGCGTGTGACACGCTGCGAGATTACCAAGCGCTGGTCTTCTCTTGTTTCATGTGTGGGTGGATAGCGCCTTGGCTCCGAAATGTCTTCGCTAGCCCACAATGGAGGCCAGGCTTTTTGCCCCACACTTAGGGATGTGATGCCACATCGAGTAAGGCATGACACCGGGCTTCTGGCCAGCAGGCCACTATTCAAACAAAGCTGCCCAAAGTATCCCGTCCCTTCTCCAAACCCACCAGCAATTCGCGCTCAGAGCCTGGAGCACTTAGGCTTCTTCGGTCTTCAACCGCACGCCATGCCATTGTATGCCTTGGCACACAAAGGTGCACTTCATCGCTAGCATCCTCCAGGTTGGTGGGGGAAGGGAAGCTGGGCCATGCGGCATGAGTCGACGACACGCCCGGCATCCAGGATTGAATCAGGTCTTGGAGTTGAGGTTCTGGCAATGCCTTTTCTGTTGATCTTGTGAACCGGCAGGTTCATGTGGTGGTGGTGATACGGGTTTAGGCAGGATTGCGCGATTTTGGAGTTTCCGAACACGGATGACTTCAGTCTTTCCACAAGTCGATAGGACGACAGCAGGGTTCTGAACGAACAGGAGCTTGTTGCTGCGACAGACAAGATGCGTAACATCCCTCTGAGAGACCCAACACGTTGGCACGGCATATGATTTGACTTCACAGTCGTAAGCCCCACAAAATAGGGGATAAGCATACCCGCAAACCCTGTCATAACTCTGCAGGGCGGTTTAAGTTTGATGATAATAATGATTTTTGTTTTGCTGCTACAGATACGAATATGTTACTATTGTTCTGATTATGATTGGTGTACTGTTATTGCTAATTACTATTGTCATTGTTACCGCCATTATTTTTATCATGATTTTGATTATTACGATTATTATGATTACGATTATTAGTATGATTTTTGTTTTCATTAGTAGTAGTATTACTACAGTAGCAGTAGTCGTAGCAGAAGTAGCAGTAGCAGTAGCAGTAGTAGTTGGTTCCTGGCGATCAGGTCTGGATTTTCTACAAGAGGTCCATTGCCGCCTTCGTGTCCATCCCGTTCTTCCTCTTCACGCTGGCCATCATCTGGCACGCAGCGCATGACAGCAATCTACCAGCGTGACTATCCTGAACGAGTAAAACTACACAGACGTACGTATATCTGTCATGGACTATGCACGACAGACGTACGTACGTCTGTGTAGTTTTACGCATACACATATACATGTACATGTACGATTACCGGTGCACCGATCATACAGGATCATACGTTTCCATGGGACAGTCCTTCATGAGTCTCACGTGTGTGGGACCCAATCGGTGTGACGGGCAGATAGAGCGCACACACACACATATGCAAGTATCCACATATGTAGTTGTGGAGGCACGCCCTGTCACGCAATCGTATAGTATGTGTGTACGAAGGCTTTCGTGGCCACATGCATGTGTACATGTAGAGATGTATAGGCTCGATGCCCAGCCTCCAACTTCGCACCCTGGATATGGCATCCGCTGAAATGCTGGCTTGAGTTGCGTTGCCCAATCGATGACGATTAGGAATGATTAGGAGCCAAAGACAGTCACTTGAAATTAGTATTTGAGCTGTTGCGGATTGACTTTCCTAGTCCTAGACTACCATCGATATGCACGGCAACAGGGGTTGAGCCTCGTGGAAGCTTGCAGGGTTTAGAGTTTATCTACATCGAGGTTTGCTAAAGCCAGCGCTTGGGTCTGGTGCTTGAGATCTAGAGTTTAGATTACCAACCAGATGCTTGCTTTCCCCAGGCTCTAACCCAATACGACCAACAGATTTTCACCCGGCGCAGTGCGGCAGTCCAACACGAAGCCAGCAACATGATTCTGCAGAAAAGAAAGCAGAACGCATAAGGTTTCAGGCACGCCAGCGACGCGGCCAGAGCACGGTTTTGAAGGCTTCATTTTGGAAGTTGTCCCTTGCCAAGACTCGCGCCAGTGCAAAGCAGGCCTCCGAAAACGTAAAATGCATACAGGGTAAGGCGGGCCTGCGCTGTAGCAGAGCACGATGTTGAAGCAAAGAGCTCTTGCAACTTTAACTTTTCCAGACAGACCCACTGAAACAAAAGCAACAAAACAATCGCACAGGCGCCGAGTGAAAATATAGGTTCGCGAAAAGTTTGCATGAGCCTCTGGTGTTTTCGCCAGCTGCGAAAGCTCCTCGTCGAAGCGTTTGGCCACGTCGCCGTGTTGCATGTAAAGGAATGTATGCGTTTGGTGTGAGCAGGCACTATAGTCATACCAGCGACATTCCGTTTGTTGGCCTTACCCTCACCAACCCAGTCTAGATCTCGTCATGCGCAGGCCTCGAAGCTGAATACGTGTATTGCGACTATTTGCGACTCTCCTCATGGGGCCCCTCTTTTCCCCTAACTAACTTGGGTACTCACGGCTTCCACATGTGCAAGCAGGTACCTCATCGATCTTCGGCAAAAGCTCAGCTTGGCAGAAACGGAGGTGGGAGCCGATGGGAACTCCTGGGCTCAGTAGGAATGCTGACTGCACACTGAACTGTCGGTGTCACGCATCGAAAAACCAAGAAGGAAGGAAATCGACTTCCCTGAAGTTTCTGGCTGTGGAGGCCCACGCTGTCTTAAGTTGCTACGTTTCGCTGCTACCCATGCCTGAATGTCGCTGAACGGAACAGTTTCAGCCTGCAAGACTTCAAAACGTCATGGCAAAAAGCGGCAAGCTGTCGGGGACAGCTCCGCATCCCGCATGGATCAACTCCCAGCTGGGCTCGGAAGGCTTCTGTTATACAGAGCTATGATACACAAGAAGGGTTGCAAATCGAGGTAGGGCTGACAGTGCAAATGACCAGCCTTGCGAAGAGAGGGAGGCTTAGTTCCTAAGCCCTGTAACCCCTAAACCTCAAAACTTAAGTCACAGTAGTATGCACCTTCTGCTGATTGATAGTAAGCAGCGATCAGGCACGCGCCCAACTTAGCATGAGTCGTGTAGATCCTTCAGCATGGAGACAGACACGACACGAAAGGTGGTCACGGGGAAGATTTCCCACTTTCAGCCGTACGAACAGATCGGGGATTTGGACCACGGCCAAGACCTGAGATTCACAGGCATCCAAACTTGGGCAGCGATCTCGTACGCCAAGCAGGTTTCGTGAAGCCAGAGTGCAAGCATGCTTCCTCCACGCAAAGCTGGACTCCAAATCCTTCACGGTGCCCATCGTTGTTAAGCTTTTGCAGGCCCGACCTCGAGTTAGAATTCTAGATGCATTCAGGCACTCCAGACACTAAGCTAGTCCCGGTAATGGAATGAAGCCAGCAAGGACAACACACAACAACCGGCCGAAAGCGCGGTCACTGCAACTGAGGTCTGGCAGGAAGCGGGCAGCCAACCCGGGACCGGAACTCGGACGGACGGTCAACGCTTCGTTGTCGAGTTTGTGTCAGAATACGTACTCCGTGACAAACCCTCTCACTTGTTGGTGAGGGGTGGCAACCCTTGTCGGCAAAAGGGTGCAGGAACCGGGAAATGAGGGAGTTGCTCTTGTGTTCACACTCCCGTTGCCTCGGACTGGCTTGCTTTTCCCCTGCTCAAGCCACAGAGCACTCGCAAAGGCTGGCGGAAGCCGCGGAGCCTACAGCCGCGTCCAGCAGGCTGCATCTGGGGATAGTCCTGCAGCATGGTCCTCGCGAGGTGCCTCAAAATTTCCTAGAATGAAACGTCCGAAGACGTGACACAGAAAACTCAAAGATCACCATTTTGGTGAGTTGCAGCTTTCCGATTGAGGATGCCAAGGTAGTACTCATGTAAATAAAATTGGTATGGCAGGAGTTCGACTACGAGAAGCAATGCGTTTCTGGTTGAATGCAGCTCAAAAGTAGGAAGCACCCGAGAATAGCAGCAGGGAAAGGAAGTACACCGCAATCAACGGCCAATGCTGGGTTTGAGCGCAGTAGTCTGTATCATCGCAGTTAGGGAATTTGGTTGGCATATAAACAGTCCTTCCCCATCGACTACAGAGTGTTCGTTTGGCCAAACCTTTATTGTTGAGCCATGATTTCCCCCTTGTCCCGATGGCCATGAATCCTTGGGACAAGCAACCGTATCAGCCTGAAGGCCATGCAGCTTCGAGGTATGAGGCCATAATCCTGAATCCTAGCTGAAGAACCTAAACCCCTAAACCCTCCAAGCCATATGCGCAGGATGCGCCGGAAAGCTTGCAGCCGAGGCTTGCTGCCTCAGCCTGCCTCAGCGGTTCAAAGTTCAGGGTCCAACAGTCAGGTGTCGTTGCAAGGTGTCGGGGCTTGCAGATTTTGCACATGGCCTTGGGATTTCGGTTGACCTCCGTTGTTGAACTGGCTTCTTTGATTGCGGCTATTTCTCGCGAACCTCCGGGCTGTTTGGGGCGACAGTGATGCCTCAAGAGATACCGGGATCTCGGCGTGCAGGTCCTCGAAGCTGCTACTATATCCGCTACAGCTAGAACCCCCCCAACCATGGAATCGAAGCGTGCATGGTGGCTCCATGTGTTTGTTCTGGTTACTGTTGTGCTGCCATGATAGCTTGGCATTCAATATGGATCTACCCATCATGAGCAGTCTCAGTAATGTTGAGTGTCGCTTATACAACATTGCTTCTGACTCCTGCTGCTGCTACTCCTACTCGGACTCCGACTCATACTCCGACTCCTCCTCCTACTACTACTACTACTACTACTACTACTACTACTACACTACTACTACTACTACTACTACTACTACTACTACTACTACTACTACTACTACTACTACTACTACTACTACTACTACTACTACTACTACTACTACTCTTCTGCTCCTACGGCTACAACTAACTACTCCTGCTCCTACGACTACAATTACGACGACTACTACTGCTGCAACTACTATTATTATTATTACTACTGCTACTACTACTACTACTACCACCACCGCCACTGCAACTACTGCTGCCGCTACCACTACCCTGCCACTACCACCAGTCCCACTACCACTACCACCCGGACTACTCCTCCTCCTGCAGCTGCTGCTAACATTTGCTACTACTGCTAATACTGCTATTACAGCTACTACTGCTAATACTGCTGCTACTGCTACTTGTGCTGCTACTGCCACCGTCATCGCCACTGCCACTGCTACTGCTACTGCCACTGCTGCTGCTCCTACTGCTCTGCTGCTTTTCCAACTGCTTTTGCTGAACCAGGATGTGCCTAGTATCGGCCTAGCCTATGGTGGTGATGATGAAGGCCATCGCCATCACAACCACTAGCAGCAGCTTTGTCATTATCATCATTATCGCCATCGTGTTGGCCCGGCTCTGAAGATACAGTCTCGGCAGGTCGAGTGGCAGCTAAACGTGAAGCCAGGTGCGGCCGGTAGCAGCACAAGCATCGTTAAAACTAGTACCCCAAAGCTTTGCCTGCATTTCCGGAACTGTTACCAAGAGGTGCTCCGGCGTTTAGTGTCTGACATATTTCGCCCCAGATCCAGAGACATCGACTGTGAATCAGAATATGCCGACACAAACACCGACATGGCTACAAAGCCCACTATGTTTCACAGCGTAAGCTCGCGAACTACGCGATGCTTCTCGTGGGAGCCATGGCTCGCGTACATGCAGCTAGTCAAAAAGTGTCTGGGACTCAAAGATACGAATCATAGGCCACTGCTCAGGAAGCCAGTGCCAAGCAACTACATGATGGCACCCCGAGTCGGTGGATCGAGGCAGTTTGGATGGGAGAGCGGGGCGTGCAAGAAGACAGGTTAGATCAATGTTTCAGGATGTAGAAGAGCCCTCAGCAAGTGTGAAATAGGTCCAGCTGGCCTTCACTGACGCTGATGACGGCTTACTTCAAAGTTCCCGAACACGAAATGGTGCTGATTCACGATCACACAAGTCTCCCGTGCACCACCCATGCAAATTGCGACATCGCGGAAATTCGTCATGGCTGTCCGCATTCAGCCTTGCCTGTTTGTTACATGGGTGAGCATTCGTCTCTTCCTACTGCAGCCATTGAAAGCAAAGTACCTTCGCTGCCTGCAGCAACTCATTCCATTTCTAAGAGTCCGCCATGCGCGCTTCGGCAGGAGACTCGGCCAAGGAGTTACAGTGCCTTGCTGGCTTCGGCTTCGGACACATATGCACAGCATGTCTGGATCAACCTGTCTACAACGGCTTGAAAAATGAAGGATCGCATTGTGGTCTGAAAGCTTTAATCAAACCCCACGCCCGCACCCTGGAAGTGCACACCGCATTCACCGACACTGAGTACCGCTGAAGTAGCCAGGCCGCCCCACCGCTCCCGACAGATCCATGGCACATATTGACCCAAAGACTTCTTCCAGGGCGAAGTCATGCCGCACGCAAGAATTCAGTACCTTCACCCCTTTAAATTCTACAAACCTTCACCCGACTCAAAAAGACAGGCAAATTTTGAGACCCGAGATCCGAGCTCTCAGGTCCTCCGACGAGCGCTGCAGGGCTCTCCCTCTCGGAACCTTAACGTGCCAGGGGCCGAGCAGAGGCATCGACTCTCTAGCTGTGGAAGTGGGACAGGAGTTTGCTTTCCCTTTGGAAAAACGTATTGTAGACATATATATATATATAATGCATTTGTATACACTTCTGGCTCTCTCTCTCTCTCTCTCTCTCTCTACATAGTTCTCTGCATATATATATATATACTATCAAATGCAAGCCTCCCCTTTCCCCGTTAAATATAGCAGCAGCCGCACTGCATTTGCGAGTTTGTTCACATTCGCTCATATGAACGAATGGGCCAGCACATCCGGACAGCTGGTATCAAGGGCTTGCACGAGTCAGCCTGTCAGCCTGTCATGAGACAGTTGTCGAGTGCATCACGATCGTTGCCAGTCCTCAGCATTCTGTTTCTTCCTATTTGAGCGCTACTGGAGTAGGTTGCGCCATCAGTTCGATCACTGTTCAAACAAAAATCAAATTGCCACTTCTTCCATCTCACTAAGGGGCTATCCACGATTCCGGACCTCCGAGGACATGTACAAGTTCCTCGGCTACACCTTGTGTTGTGAGCTGTAGCTGCAAACTTACAGCTTCAGGTCCTCGCTAGCCTCGACAACAAGGTAGCATCAGTAGGAACGTGAAATGCTCTGCAATGGCGGCTGGCAACACGAACAATGCCGACAACGATCCCGAAACCGGTTGGCAAAGTTTGTGAGCTTCAAGACCAATCGTTACAAGCTTTTCGTGTGATTGTGTTATTCTACACAAATCCTGTCAAAATGCAGTCGTCGCAAGCCAGGCACCTTCGGGGGCTGACAGAGCAAGGCTGCTTGTCTCAATCAGTGACTCGAAAAATCTGGACTTCTTCAAAGATGTGGGTCCTGCACAATGCCACCACGACGTGTCATTACCGGGCGTTTTATTCTGCGAACGCCCAAATTCGTTCATAGCTTTGCTAAGCCTGTGCAGACCGACACCCTGGAACACTGCTACTGTAGGGCCTAAATAATTACCTCTACTATGTTGGGCGTTCCTTATTATTGTTCTAATATATTGATCCCCCAAACCCTATTCTAATTGTTAAGGCCTTTATGCTACAACCCCCAACGGTCCCAAGTTCGTGTTCGGGTCGCCTGCGAGTATCTGCCACTTCAAGTTGTCAGGATTGGCCCGTCGAGCCCTTTTTAACTGTTGCGAATGGAGCTCAGAACCATTTTCAGAAAGTAAGGAGCATTCAGTGTTCTCTTGAGGTTGTGACGGCTTGTGAGGTCGCATGAAACATACCAACGCATACCATACACTTACCTTTGGTTAGTAGGGAATGGAAGACTGGTAGTAATAGTAGCTATAATTCTACCCCATTCCTCCATTCCCTACTGACCAAAGGTAAGTACAATGGACATGCATGTGCCAATCAGATCAAGCCTCTTGTGTTTAGAACCAGCACCACCAGATGGGTAGTTGTCAAATTATGGCCCCATTTGGGGTACCCTAAATATTAGGTGCCGTATTATAATAGGGACCCACAAAGGGACCATAATTTTGACAACCACCCAGATGGCAGCCGAGGCGGCGACTTTACAGTACGGAACTTTGTAGGTGTCATTGAGGACCGGGCCGTGGATCGAAGCTTCGGGCTTCGGTACTCCTTGTTTTCCTGGGAACCCTAAACTAAAAACCCTAAACCCTAAATACTTCTATACTAGGAACCCTAAACTAAAAACCCTAAACCCTAAATACTTCTATACTAGGAACCTAAACTAAACACCCTAAACCCTAAATCCCAAACCCGTCTTGGATATGGAAGATCTGCTTAGGTGTGACTGCGGTGATGAGGATTGAGTTGTGTCGGGATGAAGGTTTCCGCAGGGCTGCATGCTTAGTAACTGCTAGAGCAGAGTTGGGTATCACATACGCACGTTCAAAAGATCCAGCACCTACCTTTTTTCAAGATCCTATGCCCTCCCACTAAAAGCGCGAAAGCTGTCAGTCGGGTTCGCATTCAGAGGTCCTGACTACAGAAGCCTGAGCCAGTTCGAGCTGCTTCCAGGCCCCGTCATAATCCAACAGCGCCTTAGGGAAGAGACGGAAGCAGCTAATATAGAGGCCTAAATAATTACATGCTATTTTGGGGATTCCATATTTTGATTATAGTAAAATGCGCCCCAAAACCCGTAACACCGTTTTGCCTTCAGGACATGACTCATCGCTTCGAGAGAGGTCCCCAGAAAGGGGAGTATTAAGTTTGCTGGCTGGATTTTCGGCATTCTCCGGATCCTCACTCCTAGACCCTATAACTCCTGAACCGTGAACTCTATTCTTTTCTTTGGGCATTACTTTGTTCCTGGTTCTGGCCAAAGTATACTAGGGTGGGAGTTTGAGATTTCAGCCCTATAGTGCCAAGGTGATACAGCAAACTCAGCACACCGGTCTCAGGGTTCAGTGCTGAGAACTCGACTCTTTGGGCTTCAAGCTTCACGCTTGAGACTCCTCGAAAAACCAGGGCTCAGCGCTTCAGGGATCGGCATCAACGGCGACATGACGACGTAATGTTTATGTATTCTGCATCGAGCGCTATTTCCACGGTGCTAGACGCAGTGACGATAACGAAACCCATCTCCGTTCGTGTTCTGTATCATGACTAGGGTGCATATCCACAAGACGCACCCTATACACGATAAACAGATCTTTCAAAGTATAAAGACCCTGGAGCATCGTCTGTACCCCACAAAATTCTTCTCAACGTAGGAAGTCCCGTGGTCTGCTTGCTGCGTAAACATGTCAAAAAGACTACGGCCAACAGGATTTGGCCGGCTGAAGCACGTAAACATCCTAAAAAGTGACTAAAAATTTGGTACTTACATAAATCGGTAAGCGGCGGCATCGGGGCTGCAAAGCTAAGCCACCAACACTTCCAAGGACGCCCCTCTTTCCTGCCGGTGCACTCGACTTCTACACCAAGAAAAACATGGGCAGAAGCCCTAGTCGGAAAGCCTGTAAGCAGGGGCTTGTGCGTTGCAGTTGACCGTGTGAGGTTTGAGGGCGCGTTGCCTGGAATTACAGTTTGGAAGCCGTAGCCCGCATGACACTTCTGAGGTTGGCCTTACACCCAAGAGGAGTCGGACAAATGGCAGATGGAGGAGCGAGGAGGCATGAGATGATGCTCACGCTTTCGGCAACCGAACTCAAGAACTTCAAAATCATACGAAAACCAGGTACACAACCCTCAATCCCAAGCTCTTCTTCAAGGCTACAAGAAAACCATTGGATCGCTGTAGGTGAGCAAGGCGACTACCGAGACGGCATGCAGGCAAGCCGCCGGTTGGGAGGTCTCAGCAGATTTCAGCACTAATGATGGCCGAATTAGTTGGAGTAGCACAGCTTTGACTAGCTTGATAGCTTTTCTGGGAGTTGACAAAAGTCCTTTCTTCAAACGAGGTCTTGAAGATAATCTTGAAACTGAGCAGGTCCTAGAGTCCCTTGGTCTATTCTCTTGCGGTCGTTCCGTACATTGTCTCTCCTTGTTTACACAAGAGCTGTGCATGCCTCATGTCCGCCAACCCGGTGGAACAGGCGTACTCAGCCTTCTACCCAAACAGAAATATGATTTACGCCAGCTGCTCCGAGTCTTCAGCACAAACAGGCTTTTCAAAGAGAGAGAGAGAGAGACAGAGAGACACAGAGAGAGAGAGAGAAAGAGAGCGGCTAGCGACTTTTCGTTGCTTTGCAGTCGGGGCGAGCTGTCCCCAACCAGTACTCAGTTCAAATGCATACATGGACAACTCTGCAGCCAACACTAGGGGAATCGTCAAGCCGAACCTAGTCTATCGCACGTAATACCGTGCGTACCGCCAACAGACGGGCGTCTCCCACGGGGGCACGCCCTCAGGCCTGGTGAAAGACAAGAGCGACACAGAGAGACAGACACTGCACACACTGACACACAAGGCACACAGGCAGAGCGGCTGCTTCTGAGAAGCGTTTGTCGGGAGCTATCCAGAAAGCCCTGTCAACGAAACTGAACCAGTCGCCGGCGCCGATCGCAGGTCCCAAATCTACAAATCTAACCCTTCACTCCCCCTACACTGCCCTAGACCGGTGGCTCCGAATCTCGAGCCCCAAGAAGCCACTCCAGTGCCACTCCCGCGAAGAGGAGAAGATTGCCAACGTCATCGCTTGTCTGAAGAGCGAGCCCAGGTCTAGCTTCTTGGGGCGTCTTTTTTAAGGTGCTGTAGGGTTCCTGTAAAGGCTTCTTATAAAGGGTCTATAAGGGTTACTGTAAGGGCTACTATGAGGGTTGACTTAAATAATTACCTATGCGATGTTGGTGGTTCCTTACTAGAATTATAGTATTATGGGCCCCAAAGCCCTATTCGATTCTAGTCATTAAGGCCCCTGTATTACCGGAAGCCCCACCTAGACGATCTAGACTCCCGAATGTTGGGATTTGTCGAAGCTGCAGGGAGCTAACTATGCAGCACTACATATTCGGGGCTAATGTCGTTGGGGCATGAGTAAAGGGGGTCCCACCGTTCCGGCGTTGAAGCTTTCGGGCATGGGGGACCGTGGAAAAAGCTTTGGAAAATTGGGGTGTTAGGGTCGTGGAGCCTTTTGCCAAGTCCTGGTGTGTGTGTGGCACACCTTCCCGCTTAAGTTCAAGGCTCAGCATTTCAGGTGTCCTCTGCGAGTCGAAGCGACACCTTTCTCAAAGGTTTAACAATATTAAAATTACAATACACTACGAGTTTGGCAGAGCATGGGTATCATCTGTTGTCGGTTGACACCCTTAGCGGAATTTGAGTTCAATTGGGTTCTGAGTGTCACAGACATAGCGGAAACTAATGGCGGAAATCAGTTTATGTTGTCGCGTATGTCAAACTGAATTTAGCAGGACGTTCGTACGCAGAGCCTCGGTGTGCCCTTTTCGAACCAAAGAGCAAGCAGAGCAGCGTAGCCTAGCCAGCTCAGGATTTGTTGTAGCGAGGATTGGAAACTGCACCGTTTTAGCAAATGGCCTTGCAGCAAGGAAAATCGTGTGCAATCACGCGAGGTCGAAGAGGGCGATTATCCCGATACCGTTCTCCTCAGAAGGCTGCGGCGTGCAAGTTTGCTGGGCTGCTTCTCGCAAAAAGTCCAAGCTTGCATATGCTTGCAGGCAGCAAAACCGTAGACTGGACGAACAAGGGACAAACAAAGTGTTGCCGAGGGCTCAGTTCCGGCTTGCACATGTGCTTTATCAGCATCTTCCTGTCGATTCTGCAGCAAAATGACTACTCGTAGCGTGCTCCCCTTGTGAGGTCGTGAGTTGCACCTGTACATAGAGGACACTCGTGCAAAACATGCTTTACTTCTTCAGCTCTTCGTGATGGTTTGCCATTGCTCCTTTTGCAAAGCAGGCTCATGCAGTCGGGTTACCTCTTGACGGCTGCTGGGTCCTGACTTGAAAACTTCATTCAACTTCGCGTCATCGCAAAGCCTGTGCATGATGCAGTAGCATATAGTAGCATCATGGCACTCGGAGAGCCTCTCATGCAAGCCTCATGCCTGCCGTATTCGCTCATGCAGGACAGCCAGCTGAAGTGCACGGGCATCTTGCGTATGCAAAATGCTTTGGACCCAGCAGCTCTTTGAAGCGGATTGGACTGGGTGTCCTTATCCATGTGGAGGCTCCATGCCAAGTGTTCTGATGGTAAGCAACTGCAGCCAGCTGTCGGGGTTTCGTTCACCCCGAACTCGATTCGGTCGAAATGGGAGTTTCCGAAAATTAGGGGTACCTTATTTGGGGGCCTTGTAATAAGGACCCTGCTACTACATTAGGATCCCCTATTTCCGGAAACTCCCACATGTATCCCCAGCAAGGAAGATCTGCGGAAGTTCACCTCGGTCTGAAATCGATATGTCAACGAGCCACAATCTGTCAGGGGCCCACCCACCCATCAAAATTAGAGCAACACGAATTTGCTTTGTTAACCATGTTCCACACAGACAGGCCGTCTGCACTTCTCTAGCATTCCTGTATCCGAAATGACGATGTTGCCAGCATGTAACCTATTGTTGAGGTGGTTAGGTTACTATAAGGGCCTAAATAAAACTACAACTATAGTATAATGGGCTCGAAAGCCTATTCTATTTATTAAGGCCCCTACCTTGACTGTTCTGAAGCCTCTGGGCTGGGTGTTTTTTGACCAAGGCCAACATTTTCCCAAAGAACATCCACTTCTTTCAGACGCTGCTGCTGCACGTGGGAAGCGAGCTTGAGCTCGGAGCCTAGAGCTCCAAACGAGGGCACGACGGTTGATGATATAAATCCTGTAAAAGGATCTATGAGGGTTTCGGGTTTAGGATTGATGTTATGAGTCCTGCATTACCTTAATGGTAACGCAGGGGTTATATCATCAACCGTAGGGCCTGGGGTTTCGGCCTCTTGGACACCCTGATCAACCAACTCGGTGATTTCGGGGCAGTGCTATGCTTTCATAAAGATAGCCGTCACGCTTCCGTGGCGGCCTCTTGGGTGCAAAGTGTGCGGAGTTGGCAGAGTTTTACAAGTACTATAGGGGCCTAAATAGTTAATTGCCAATACTATTTTGGGGGCTCCTTTTTAAAGGTATAGTATCATGGGCCCCAAAACCCTATTCTAATTCGTAAGGCTCCTATATTATGGCTTCAGGTTCCCGTTTTTGCCCTCAAGGGCGACTCGGCGGAACTCCGAACCCAGTTTAGATTCGACCTCCTAAGGCTGCCAGTTGGAGAATACACGCATTGGATCAGCAACCTCTGTTCCAAGCTCAGCCGACGCCTGCCCTGTCATCTGCATCGTTTGGTGTCTTGCTGCCATGTGACGTCTTGGGAGTTGCCGTGTGGTAGCCGCATTGTCGTTATACTGCCATTTGCCAAACCTTCATTGTCCTGCATGTACAGTTGTCAGTGACACTGTTGTCGCCGTTGGCGTGGTCATGAGATGAGCGGTTCCATCGCGAGCCTGTTGGAAGCCTGAAGCTACTGATATCTGCAATGCTGCGGATGCTGCTGCTCCGCCGACGACAACTCCTGCTCCTGTTCCTGCTGCTGCCGCCTGCTGGCACCACCACCACTCCACCACCGCCAGCACAAGTACTGTCGCTACTACCACACGAGCGCTGACTTTATCTTCAGATCCTTTTGTATGCTGCCGCTTTAAAGGTTGTCGTTTTACGGATGCGAACACTTGGCTTCCAGTGTAATTAAGCTATCATTCCTTTTCACATATGTGTGCTTGCATGTATCATGTATCTGCCGAGGCTTCGACAGAGATGCGATCAGCTGCTGAGGAAAAGCCCTCAGGAAATGGTTAATCAGCCATGCCCGACCTTGGGGTGACGCGTTATTGATCGTGCGAGCCAGACCAAAGTCGTGCTTCAGCCTCGCATGCGCGAAAACAATGGCCGTTGCAGGGTTTCGCGCCAAAACGCAATGTGTAGGCTTCAAGGAACAACGCCGAGGCAGCTGTAGCAAGCATCGCGCGACCTTTGGCGAAGATTGCATGCCTTAAAACTTGAAAACTACATCCCAGTCGATTTCTTCATGACTGTCGAGGTCTGTCTTGCTTCTTTCTTGAACCCTGACAAACCTCCCATGCCTGCTTGGACCATGCAAGTCTGAGCATGTTTATCTTCTGGCCTGATCCAGCAGCTCCAATTTTGTCTCAGGGGCTGGGGGCGTTAGGCAGCTAGGACCCAGCTTTCGGACCTCAGGTTCAGAGCTGAATAACGGATCACCAGACTCAAACACTGCAGTGATTTCTGCTAGCCCAGGTGTTGTGTTCAGGGCTCACCATCATGGCTTCAAGAAGTGACTATGTTGACGATGCACAGGCAACCAGAACCACCACAAGACCGCATTCATTCAAACAATTAAGGCCCCTGGTTTAACCCGCCGGCGCAGAGCACATGTGCTGCGAGGGGCAACAGCCTCAACATTAGCATGGCAATGGAGGCTTCGTGGCTGCAACCATCGCAAGTCGAGGTCGCAAAATGTTTGCTGAAACAGTCTCTATTCACAGCGTTGTTTCCTACACGAGCGTAATGAGACCATGCTGTCGTGATGCTCCTATTGACTTTGTGGGTAAGTTGCCTTTGCCCATCGTGCGATGCTGCTGATCATGCCAAGAAATCCGAATCACGTCAGCTGTGTGTAAATATCAGGCTGCATGCTGAGGCAATAGGGGCGGCAAGCGGAAACTAATCTCTAACTTCTGAGCATCTGTTGAGAACATGTGAACCTCCACAATGCTTTGGCGAGAATGCCCGATGCCTGTTGAGGCTGTTGCGTTGTGTGCAGTACCCCTTGGTACCCGATTGCTCTCAACATGCCTCTTGTGGTTTGTCATCTGTTGCTGCTCTAGATGTGCTTGCGGGCAGACGACAGTTGAGCGAAGACTCTGGTTGTTTGCACTTCTTCCCGTTCCAGCTGTTCCAGCTTATTTTCCAGACTTCCCTAAATCCCAGACTCAACATTGGCCCTGTACTGGTTGCCGACCTGCAGCGACGCGGAGACGGAGCCCAAACACCCTCGACCGAGAACCATGAGGATTCCTTCAAACGGGGCGATGACGTGCTGGTCTTCTACCGGATGTGCAAGCGCTGCAGACCGGATCGGAAGTACTTGGCCAGACACCCGGAAGTTGCAAGGATACGGCGTTTAGGCGGGTGACTAGATGGTGCCTCCAGGTTCATGGGGCAGGATTCGGAACCCTACTGCCCGCCTCAATTTCACTGCCTTGCTGCATGACATTGTCGGAAGGGTGTTGAGTCAGAGAGCAACCGCGGCCGTGAGCATTGCAACAGATGCCGAGGCTGTGCTCGACCCCAAGCACGGAGCCTTCCGCCCTCGAACTGGAATTTCGGACGGCTGGGTTCCAGCACGGGTCATGGCCGACCAGCAGCCGAACGTCCACGGCGGTGACATCGAGGTTCAGTCTCCTAACTGCCAGGGGGGCGATGTAGTGCAGCAGCCACCGAGTCATTGAAACAAAGTAGACGCTACCCGTAGACGTCAATAAACGTCAAGGGCAGTCTGTCACTGGAAGCACAGGTGGAGTATTCCTGGCCCCACTTCTACACGCAGAGGGGCCACATCGCGGACAGTGGGACTGGATGGACAGAGTGGTTCGCACCACAGTATGTCAAGAGACCGACAGGCGTGAATGCTGACCTGAAGCTCACACTTGAAGCCTCAGTTTTTGAGAGTTTCGGTGACAGTGTGTTGTGCAGCTCCATACGTGTTGGTGGTTGAAGGTTCCTCGGCATTTAAACCCCCACGAAATGGCTCATCAGTATGTCCTGCCTTGAACCCGCGAGTCGACGGCAAGACTCAGACGACGCTGTTCCCGAGCGCAGGCCGCGGCAGCAAGCCCAGCCTAGTCGATGCCGCGTCGGAGCCAGACCTCGTTCCCCGGCATGCCAAGCAATTCAAGACTTATGTCATGCCCTTGCAACCTCTGAACCCTGCAGCATGTAGTAGCAGTAGTAGTAGTAGTAGTAGCAGAAGAAGTAGGAGTCGTGGTGGTGGTGGTGGTGGTGGTGGTAGTAGCAGTAGTAGTAGTAGTAGTAGTAGTAGTAGTAGTAGTAGTAGTAGTAGTAGCAGAAGAAGTAGGAGTCGTGGTGGTGGTGGTGGTAGTAGCAGTAGTAGCAGCACCAGTAGTAGTAGTAGTAGTAGTAGTAGTAGTAGTAGTAGTAGTAGTAGTAGTAGTAGTAGTAGCAGAAGTAGGAGTCGTGGTGGTGGTGGTGGTGGTAGTAGCAGTAGTAGTAGTAGTAGTAGTAGTAGTAGTAGTAGTAGCAGAAGAAGTAGGAGTCGTGGTGGTGGTGGTGGTGGTGGTAGTAGCAGTAGTAGCAGCACCAGTAGTAGTAGTAGTAGTAGTAGTAGTAGCAGAAGAAGTAGGAGTCGTGGTGGTGGTGGTGGTGGTGGTGGTGGTAGTAGCAGTAGTAGCAGCACCAGTAGTAGTAGTAGTAGTAGTAGTAGTAGTAGTAGTAGTAGTAGCAGAAGAAGTAGGAGTCGTGGTGGTGGTGGTGGTGGTGGTGGTAGTAGCAGTAGTAGCAGCACCAGTAGTAGTAGTAGTAGTAGTAGTAGTAGTAGTAGTAGTAGTAGTAGTAGTAGTAGTAGTAGTGCTGCTGCGACTGGGCTTATTTCGGAGCTGAGCTCGGCCTCACAGCTGCCTTCCACTCTTTTGAAGGGGATGACAGCTGTGCTGCCAAGGTCTTGGGGAAAAAGAGTACGCCCAGACAAAACCCTCAATTGCCCTCCTGCTTGAGGGGCCCGCTACTCCCTGACAGGTTCTCTGCCTAAGCCGATCATTCAGCCTACAGCCCGGAAAGGGAAGGTTTCCGCTCGAAACCCAGCATAGAGCAGAATACAGTATAGAAAAAGATCGATAAATATGAGGTAACATACTACATTGCATTGCAGTACAACACAGATGCAATACGACACAGATTAATACGATACGGTGCGATGTGAAATACAATGCGAAGAAGCAAATACAACCCAGTACGATATAGCATACAACCCTCGAGCACAACATAGCATAGTAAGGTTTCATAAATCCGAACCTCTAAACCCCTAAACTCTTAACCTCCTAAACCCTAAACCCATAA